GGTCAAATGGCAGTCATTTGCCCTTGCAGCTGACGGAGTTATTTTTCAGCTAGGTGCAAAACGTTTGACCTGTGTGATACGTAAACCGCGATACTGAATATATAGGAATGCTTTTGTCATATAAAGAGTAGACGGAGCAAAGTTAGACGTCCGTTCACCATCTAACCACACAATCAAGCCGTGTACACTACTAGATGGCCGAGTAGAAATTCTCTCGTCTTTTTTTACGCGATCCTATAGTTAGTAAACACACATTCTATAAAAAAAAAAACCATTCTTCTTGCACCTCGCTGGCGAGAAACGCAGTGTTTGATCAATTACACCTCGTTAAGTCTCATTTCACAGTGACGTTGGTGATAGTGATGTTAGAAGTAATGGCGGTATTATTAGTAATAATGGACGATACGATGGCGATGAGCTGACGACACTAACGAACCAATCAACCGATGAATCAAACAAGCAAACATGACTGCTTCATTATCTGCACAGAACATTTTTATGCAAACCAATTTATACAACGTCCATGGACAATGATTCCTAAACCTCCTAATTTAGTTTGAAATCTTGTATCATGTGATGTAAAATGGTATGCATCAAATGGAACCACTGGATGAAATAAAAAATATTTTGGTTGCTTGGTCAGCGGACCGTATTGTAAAACATCAGTGTCTCCAGACAAGGGGGAAGATTATTTATGCTTTTTGGTTGAATTTTGGTGGGATGTCTGCACATGAAAAAAGCTACTGTATAAGTTATGCAACTGAGAACATATGATCAATTTAGCCGGTAGTGCCAAACCATTACCTAAATCTGTGTGGATTTTACAGGGAGGAGTGATTTGTCGGGACTAACTAAGACCACTATATAATATGAGGCAGACAGTGCAGCGTTTCTTGACGTTTTAAACACGAACTTGCATTTCTGTCAAAAAGTAAAGCACTTATTATTCCTAAGAAGAAATAAATTTCGTGGACAATTAGGCTGAGACCCTTTGCTTGTGAGTATTCGGAATAAGTAAACGACGTATCATATATATATATATATATATATATATATATATATATATATATATATATATATATATATATATATATATATATATATATAAACCATAGTGTTTATGCTCAACAAGCCGGTAAGAACCAGTACGGATAGCCTGGAGGTTAGGTGTTCAATGCAAAATCGTTTATCCTGTCTTCAAGCCCCAATTGAGGCTTGGTGGATATGCACTGCTGGTGATTCCTAACAAAACAGATCAATTCAGAGAACAGGAGGTCAACAAAATACCATATAAAGACGTGTTAATATAAAACATGTATGTTCAGGCGGAACAAATATATATTCACCCAAATATTCTCAATCCATGCTTACGAGCGTCCGTAAGATGCAGATACTGACATGACACACGTGGACACCAGTACAGGGCCTCACCCATCGGTCAAAGAAATGCAACGTGCTGCTTAGACCGACCAACCAGAAAGAATATTACCAGCGAAACACTAAGAAGAGTACTGAACAAGATGCGAAATGCATTAGGAAAGAACGGACATCCTGACAAACTAGTTGACCAAATACTAAAAGAAAAGCCAGTAAAATGTGAAATTTATGCCGATTTTAAGATGCTTTGACTCTTCCTTTAGCACATAACAGAGGTAGTGAACCCTTTGAAAACGCACTTTGAAGACAATTCAGACTATCTTCAATGCTGCTGAACTAAGGACCAAATGAAATGTCAACATCTCGCCGTATTTGCCTTTATTCTCTAATGAACAATTTTTTATTCAGTCCGCCCGGTCATCCACCAAAAACTGGAAGACTGACTTTTATTTGTGTTTACCAACTCATCTATGATCCCGTACGGCTGACTACTTGCGTATTATTCACCAGTTGATCAAAAGAAAAAAGAATACCGTCCTTCGCCGCTGAAGAAAGAAGAGACAGAGGCCGTTCAAAGCTCCATTGTGGAACGCATTATCAATACGGGCATTCAATGAATATTGAATAATCATTAAAAGTCATCTACTGAGCCCCGAATAAATCATAAGAATCAGGCCAGAAGCTTCATTCTGTGCACAACCTAGGCAAAAGCTTCACACATGCACCACCCCGACCAATGTAAATGAAGAAGTGCTCTTCATAGCCTATAGCTACTGTAGACAAAATGCATGAAGTAACCAGGGGTCAAATGGACTGCGCCATCCTCATTAAAATTTCGACTGCAACGACAACTAACATATTATTTATCCCATAATGATGATTACCCTACTACTCCTTAGAGAACACAGATTGGCGAGGAAGCTCGTTTTCAGTGATTCATACTCGTCCCACTAGGTCATAACATATTTCGAAATAATCACGTGAAACTGACCGTCTTAACTACTTGCTTCATCGGTATTGTCGGAGTACATGGTGAAAACAATTAATTACTTCATCTGTCTTCTCAATGAAGCAAACAATCAAATTTCACAGTCTCCTGCCATAGTCAACCGGTGTGCTTGGAATGGAGACTTGCCCCAAGACAGTTTCATATATTTATGAATAAGAGCAGCGAGTCAATGAGACACCCTCTTACCCGGACAGATCTATTTAGTCTGTTATTCTAAGCAATGCAAGCCTTCGTAATAGATCATTTGATATAAGAGCAGGCCTTTGTCACTACTCAGGATTTTTATATGGATCGCACAACCACAGAATACTGATGGCGCATGGGACGAGCATAAGATTGACGAAATACTGTGGTTACGTTTTGGAAATTACTATCCTGATCAGTTTTTTGTTAACTAGTAACCTCGCAAACCTATACTCTGGTTTTGCCTGCTTCTTCGCATGATGGCCGAGTCGAGAGCAAAATGAATAGAAGCACGAAGAGCAGACGAGAAGAAAGAAATCCAGCTTCAGGGAGTTAGATTAAGAGTTTACCATGGTGTCAATGTAATTTGGACGGGTAAGAAGTATGCTCTTTTGCGAAACTTCCGGAGCCCTTGATGTGGCCTCAAAACTCTGCTGGTGGAGTGCTTGCGTTATGAAGGCATGAGTGACATCTATGCATGGGTTCGAACCCAGCAGGGGTCATTGACTTTTGATGCCTAGATCAGTTGAATAAAGATATATGTAATGAGCGTTTGGATACATAACTAAGGCCGGATAAGATGTACAGCGATAAAGTTCGGAACCATTAGGCCCAGTCGTCACCTGTAGTTTTTCACCTTCTTACGACTTAACCGAAAAACTACCTTTTGAGTCAGCTGGGCAAAAAGTGTAAGGTCGTTTAGGTTTTTCGAAGCTATCGTTAAAAACCAGTGGAAAGCGTTAGATGTCGTAATGAGATTGTACAATTCTCTACCGTTTGTCACTACTTTCGGACAATGATGGCTCATCTGATCCTGTTTCATGTTTGTACTGCAGTAAGCACCAATCTGAGATGCAGTGAAATTACCCCGGAACGTAAAAGGTGCAACATTGTCTAGTAGCTTTCCTCTTTAAATTTTTCACGGTAAGGGAGCGCTTTAGAAGTTCATGAGTACACTACGTAGGGTTTATGCACGTTGGTCATCAGAAAGGAATAGCGTTTCGGTAAGCACTTCCGGTGTCGCGAACATTTTTTCGGTGCATATATATATATATATATATATATATATATATATATATATATATATTTAATATCACACTAGTTAGCATTTACCATCGGTGAGCGATGGGAGAAATCTTGAGCACATCGGATGAAACATTGCTATCTGTTTTTTCTGGCTGATTCAAGTTATTCTATCCGGTAGATTTGATATAAGTATGAAATATTTTCATCCATCAAAAGCATCAATCTTCAATTAATGCTCTTCACTGAGGCAAATCAAGCGATGTAATTCACAACAGATACTGAGAGGCAAAATCGTCCTCTCTCCCAAGGTTTCTCTTTCAGGTCGCCTACTTTGTTGTATTTAGAAGACAATCTATCAAAAATTCGTTTAAAAGAATAATATACTGAGACTCACGTTCTCCCCCTAGAGAACTAAATAAAACAACAGAAGCCCCATGTTTCTGTTTTGAAGGCATTATAGTTGGATAACTTGCACAGCTGCGTACAAGGTGTACAGTTCATTGTTCACTGACACAAAACGGACGAAAACTACGACTGTATTGGAAATATCCGGGTAATCACGGTGCATACGATAAGTTATGAACATGGTGTACCGAATATTAAAATCCTTTATGGCTAACACGTAGCAGTTTTGATTTATACTCTGACCTTAACCTTTCTTCAGGTAACTGAAGAAGATAAAATTGTCCTCGGTAATCTCATCAGTAATTGTTTGCTCATTCAAGTTAATTAACGGTGCTAATTGCATAACTAGTGCAGCAAAGCAGTAGTAAATGAACATTAGCCAAGTGAATTTAGACAGAGGAAACAAAGTTGTTGCAGATGCGACTGTAAACCAGCTAGGAGTAACATGACTTTCACTGGATGACAGATTTGTTTTTGAATTTCACGGCAATTCAAATAACTCTTAGGAATTCAGACGGCGCACTTTAAAAACAGTTGTAGTGATTACCGAACATCCAAAAACAGTCTGTATAAGCACATAAGTATATCCATCTGTCGTGGTTCATAAAACCGTTTACAAATAGACGGAAGGTTCTACTCATGTATTCATTACTTACGTAAATGTGATGAAACAAGGCAAATCAAACAAGTCCTGCCCTATTTCTGATCATCAACCGCAATAAATCTGATACATGAACACTTATTTTTCTATCGTCAGTAATCACGGTTGTGTAGTTCGAAAATAAATTTATTATAAATAGAGGTTTACCGAAAACTTGATTCAGATGAATACAAATCATTTTTCGTGATCTTGGTGAACTTATATTAAGAGCACATCAGGATCTTACAAAACTTGTTGACGGAGTATGAAAAATCCATAGTTCTTCAGTTCTTCCGAATTCAATCAAGTAACCCACTCGAGAAGTGAAATTCAAGAACAACTTTTTCTTAGTCAGCTTACCTTTTGCAGATTGACTGTCGTTTCTGATCCGAACAACTCGTCCCATAGCTCTTGATCACGTTTCTTGGTTAATCTGTGTAGATTTCCGAATGGAGAAATAAATTCGCAACAGGTTTCAGTGATCAGTCGAAGGGTCTTCGTGGTTAAATGACTGAATGTTCTATTTGGACTGTATGCATACTGGAATATAACTCCACTAAAATCTGAACTGTGGAAAAGACTAACATCTGTACCTTTCAACGGCAACACGGTTTTCACTATTTCTTGTTTAGGCAGTCTTTTTGGCTTACGCAATCAAGGGGACGACTGATCGATCGGCAAATGACTCTGGATGACAAAATAGCTCTATTTCACGCGGTCATTTTTCCCCTGGATCGCTGAGAATGTTTGTGTTTTGTTTAGAACATGTTAGCCACCCCAGAGCAAAAGAACAGCTACAGTATTATCTGTAGTTTATTGGCCTTGGGTTGCAGTTTAAGATCCTTACGCACAACTTATGGACCCTGCTCCATTGCCGAAAAAGAAAAAAAACTATAAATGTCATTTATATTGCTGTTATTTTCCTTTGTTTATGCAGTAAATGTGGTAGAACAACTTCTAGATTACAAACAACCTACAAACAGGAATCCTACATAAAAACTGTCGCTGTTGACAGTTCTTTATGAACCCCATTCTGAACAAATTCAATATTTATCATTTTTAGATCCTGCACATGGTATGTGTACTCCGTTTAAATACTTTTATTGACTAACAACCTCACGACTCGAGGATAATTTATGGAAAACGTTTAACCAGGAATAAATAGTTCAGAACGGAAGTTCATGAATTGCCGTGATTTTCACGACAAATGTATCAGTCAAATATGATACAAGTGAGTTTTGGTAATAATAGTTTATTGTAGATAGGAATGAACCACTGTTTCCTATGTCCTGCAAGGTAGAAGTAACTTCGGGAAGAAGTTGAGTGCGTGGAAATTGTTTAGAATGCATTATCTAACAGACCTGATATTTTTTCAGCGGCTGGCGATGAGACATAACACCTGATTATACATTCAATTGAGTGAGTGTAGAACACTACTAACTGGGGACATTAAGGCAAAACACTTAGAGAGAAATGAAGAGATTTTGGGAACAGGAGTGATAATAAAATCCAGTAGTCATGGCCCAGAAATGATCAACGAATTCACTTTAAAGTCATCTTAAGATTTTCGTTTATACATGTTTGTTTTTATTAAAGATGATGGCAGGTGGATCACCATAACGCCATAACGCATTTAGCTGGTCGCAGGGTTTTTAGAACCTCATTCTCTGGTAAATATTCTGACTCATAGGAGTTACCATAAAAATATGATTTCGAGTTGGCAAATTAGGAACGAATAAACGAAACATGAGAGCTCCTTTCCTGACTTCTGAGTATTAGGTCGAATAAGACGAATCAAAATGCTTATTATCCGTCTTTGTATACTTGAGGAAGGTGCACAACAGCCTAAAATGCCTGTGGGTGTGATTCGTGGACTGATTTCAGGAAACAGTTTTAGCTGAATGATGGGAGACGAATGATTTGATAAACTTACCAGTGAAGAGATTTTTGGGATCGAAAAGTGAACTGAGAGAAAGTCGCAGACCACGTCTGATAAAAATTGCTCAAATTTGTTAACTGTTGGATGTGCATACTTGTTTCAGTTTGTTTAATTTTGAGGGATGAGTGGTTTATCGAAACGGATTCCGTTTTCGAAGTATTATTTATCCTTAACAGGCGATTCCAGTAGCTAACTGAATAACTCCAGATACAAAGGCTTGAACTCTATTTGTGACCTGATTCTTTCCTTGCCATTGGACAATTTGTTGTGAAAGATTTTGAAGATGCGCAAGATCGCTTCATAAAGAATCACACTGAAATTAGCTGGGCGTACAGGCCACCAGAATAAATAAAAAAACTCTCGGGACGCCCCCTGTGATTTAGAAGAGCACATATTGATCAACATTGGATCCGAAATGCGGTCCCCGCGTTTCTGTGCGCAATCGGGTAGCCGGTTAATAAGCAGTCATGTGACAAACATTCCATGAACATCGACAAAATACTTTCAGTTATTCAACTAAATCGTCTTTTGTAGTAGTCTAACTGACGGTATTCCCAGATATCAAGTACGAAAAAGAGAAAAAAGGTGTCAGATGGGTGTGATTTCTCAGTCGTCATCGGAATCCCGTCGGTGTACGGTGTATCGCTGATTATTCTCATTTTCTAGCAAGGAACACAAGAGGGTGACGTAAAAACATTTGGTCTTAGTTTACCTACCCGTTGCCAATACAGATCTACCTTCTGTGATAAGTCATCGTCTATTTCCACGTAGTGATTTACATCATACAAATCGTCATTCCTTCCTTGACTTCGGAAGTTTTCAAGGTCGTCGATCAGTATGATTTAACCTGTTTGTTATTTCAAACTTGAGTACTCTAAAAGTAATTAAATATTCTTCGTTCTGGTTTTAGTTCTAAAATACCCAAATTCTGCTTTATATGAGATGGTCTTTTTGACGTACCTCAGAAAACGCCTACTAGATTGAGGATGAGGTGTTACTCTGAGTTGTTATGAGCTCATATGACCATGACCGTTCCACTTACTGTTTCGAAAACCTTGGGATGGAATTCGTAAATTCACTATGGTTGATCTTCTCGCAGATTCTCAGAAAATGTGGCAAAACGATCAGCTCATTAGAAACTTACATCATGGTATCCATTATTTCCGACTTTGTATAGAAAGTGCTTTAAAAGCCTTCTAGAGTGACTTCACACGATGAACGTAAAATGACAAGCTGTGGAACTTAATTTATTTAGACGAAACCATGTACATGCTTGGACAGAGAAGATACAACGTTCATTTCAGTTCAGATAAGTCTTACATTTTCCCCGCAGTTCTGTGCTCTGGTTTTTGTTGCATCCTCGCAGTCCAAAACTACATGAATCAAACCAAGGACCACGGAGAACACTACAAACAAAATTCGTGCAGACGAAGAAAGGCTTTTGATGCAATCAGGCCACTTGGTTATGTCGCCTAATTTTTCCAACTACCTAGATGGTAGCCCTCACAGGCCTTAATCCGGGACCAAACACGATCTATTCGTGCAAGCCCACTTGGTAAACATTATGCCTTTTTAACACGTCATGCGCTGAGCTACTCGGCCTAATCTGGAACAACTACTTGCCCTTTTACACTGAGACAGCCTATTTTTGGGGTGTGCCTAATCCAAGCTTCAGTCATCTGATCAAATAATCCAGTCTGAAAACCAACCTTTAGCGGCGAAGTCGCGGTTCACGTTTTTGGCCTCAGCCTCTGAATATCACCTTGGTATCTCACCATTACTTAATCAGTTTTAAAAGCATTTTGTGGCAGTGTTTGCTTTCATCTGCATTAGCGTTGAAATATTAAGACGAATACAAATTACTATTTTTCAAACACCTCCATCTTTCAGAGAACAAGAAGTAATTTTTTAAATTCTAGCATTATGTACGAGTTTATTTTTATATTACATAAAGGGTAGTGTTTTAGGCTCTATTTCACATGAGACGAAAATGCTCTAAAGGCTTGCTGTTGGGGTGTTTGATGTATTATCAATAATAATAGGCATTTACAGGTATTATTGAAACCATATCCTAAATCCGCTCAACTTAAAATCCGCTGAATTGCACCCATTGAATTAACCTTGAGAGAAGATCGAATCAAAAGTCACGTTTCTTGGCTGGGTAGCCCTACGAAAAAGATAGATTCCTTCGCTGTGATCCACACATGGGTTCAATCTGTAGGGTGCCGTTCAGCAGAAGTCATGCTAAAAGTACTTATTGGCTGAAAATTGTCATGAAAGGTGAATAATGATAGAAAATCTCGTAGATTGGCATGCTGATCCACATAAATGTGATCTCTGTAGCTTACAGAATGAACCATTGAAAGCAACATTTTGCCTATAAACTACTGTCCTCCTTTCGGCGTGGGGAGTTGATGGGACAGTAGAATGTTGCATTTGGCTTATTCGGTAAACAGAATAGCAGCTCCTTATCACAAACAATCACCTCTTCTAGTTCTAATTTTAGGTTGAGCGCAAATGGATTTCCCTACTTGGTCGCGTAGCACATATGTGCCAGGCTCGACAAGTAGGGAATTCTTCAATAATCAAAAACGAAAGATGGACCAAGGGAAACAAAACTAAATTTCTGAAAAGTAAATTCATAAAATAATTGACGTTGATTGTCGTGTGGTGCTAATCTCGTTACCTGGTAAAATCGTCTGGCAAGTCAGCGTGATTCTGCACATTTGTACCGATCGGAGTTTTATCATCATCGTCCGTTTTTACCTCAGCGATCAATGGAGTCTCATCCAGCGGATTACGTTGATCCAAGGCTTGCAACGCTTTTAGTAATCGGGCTTTGCGTTCCATTTCTTGTTTTTCTTCCTGTTTACTCAGCAAGACTGATGTGGTTTGACTGGAACCACTGGTACTTGGATCTTGCGTAGCCAGGGTCACATCGATCGGACGCTGGTTCTGACTAGCAATCATACTGACCCGTTCATTGTCCGCGCTTATTCGAGTCACGGGTGCATGTGTTTCCTCAGTACGAACAGCTTTTTCTTCCAATCTGACCCTGAAAAATTGTTAGTATTGTTTAAACATCACGATGGGTGGAGACGACAACGAAATAATTTTGAAACTCAACAGTAGAACTACTTAAAGTTGTGTGAATATGAACAAGCGTCTTCCACTGACGATTTATGTCCACATTTTGTTGCAATACTTTGCATCTTCATTGTTCATATTATAAGTTTTATCAAGTAAATTTGGGCTCTACTAAAAAATAGAGCTTCATGGTCCAAAAGCATAAAGTGAAGGCTAAGAGTTGAAAAGTCAAGATGTCAAGATAAACTACAATATTGCACATGCCTAATTAAACAGCTTCGGGAAATTTCAACTTTCCGGGGTGAAATTAAATCTTGAAATTAATGCTACTTTCCCCTTTGAATGAATAAAAACGAATCACACTCGTGGAATACGTTTAGTCATACTTGACATAGTGCACGTCATACTGCAGCTAGCACGGGGTTCGTGCATGGGTTGTAATTCGGAAAGTGTGTCCGAGTTTTATTACTTGGATGAATACAACATTAGTCAAAACCGCCAAACTGTATTTCACAACCAAACACGGTCAGCTCAGAAGCTCGCTGCGTTTGTGGATGCCATGTGCTAACGTAATTTTGGCTGGTAGACAATATTCGAAACTTTCGATTTGATCTTGTGGTCAAGCTGGCACAGTACATATAGTACTGAAGCACGGGTGGCACTTGCATGTGTGTGGGGGTCGACGAATTTCTATATCTTATCAGTTCTAGAGTTTGACTCACCCAAATCGATCGTTGGTGACTGAGTAGTTTGTTAATGAAATTGAAGAATGTGGTTGGGTGTCTTGACTAACGTATTTAATATACTGCTTGAAACTATCAACAGTAATTCGAACCTTACTTCACTCTCATTCTAGTTTGTTTTAATTTCCAACTAAAGTGATTTTAAGCGATAGAAGCCAAAACAACTGCATATGAGGCACGGATTACGACTGTTCAAACTGAATTGAACTGATATGAACTGGTAAAATATTCACGACGAAACTGCAGTTTGACGTTATGGGATGGCTTGCGTGCCTCTGCCACCCAGAGAATTATACCCAATGGCTTCCTTAAGCTGAAGAAGCATTCCCGTCAATTGGTGGAGGTCAGAAGAAGATCGGTCTCTCTGTACTGTTTTGAGCAAAACCTGGCTTTACTCATTACACCCCTGGAGAGGACATTTTTGAGGACAAACACGGAGAGAAGCAGTTTATAGGTTTAAAAACCTTTACTAGGTGGACGTGTGGGTGGAATACCTGGGGTTTTGTCCGACAGCGTGGAAAGTCATCGCAGTTCGTTCAGCAGCTATCACCCGCTAAAGCTTGACAGCCCCTGTCCCAAAGAATGCTGCCCCATGCACTTTTCGCCTGCTCCATTGGGTGCATGGAGCGAGGACTGAATTCGAAAGCGGATCGATAACAAAGCATTAGTGACGAAAAGACAGAATGTATCTAACAATCAGGTCTCACTTGACAGACTAGAAGAAGTCCCCTCACGAGTGCTTCGGTCGTGTTCCCGTGCTGGATTAGTGCCCCAGGTCAGACTTTTGAGTCGAAGACTACCTTTAGTGTTCCAAAAGAAAAACCCCTTCAGCGGTGTGGATATCTGCAAAGTCTAATTCGTCCAGAAACCTTCAACGTCCTTCTTGTAGAGGGTCTTATTAACATCCTCTCCTTTAATTTAAAATCGATGCAGCATGCCACGGCTAATTGCAGCTCTGAAGAAACCAATGGTTTAGGAGCCGGGCTAAAACCAAGCACTCTTCTTAAGCCTACATGTTCACTGACTTTCGCCACCTTCAGCGTTCGCACACATTACGAGATGGGGTAACAGGTTGCCCTCGCTAGAACTCTTGAGACTTTCAAATAGACGTAATCTGTGTCTCCAAATCGTGAGTACAGGGCCCCACTTCTGTGTTCACATACCAGATACAACCTCAAGCTGTCCCCTTGCTCTTCGCGTGTTGGTTGATCCTGAGTTCTTTGCTTGTGATCAGACTGGCCTTAGGATCGATTTAAGCAAGAGAGCTGAGTGTGCGCTGCCAGACTGGATCCCATCCAGCGGTCGATTCAATGCAGTTCGATTAGACGACTCTGTGCGTGTCAACAATAGCAGAATGAAGTGTTGATGTTTTTTTCTCGTGGCAGTATATGCGCCTACTAACTGCAGCCCCACGGAGACCAACGATAAATTCTACCAGGATTTGTCTCAGCCATTCCAAAGCACGCATTCAGCGGACGTTAATGTGATTGCTGGTGATATAATCTTGCGAGTTGGCTGTTCTTGGGGTTCCAAGAGGCATGCTGGGAAGCCCGTTTATTATTTCGGCCGACCACATTGACAACTGCCATCGTCTAATCCTACTGCCCTCTTACAAAATGTTGTATGTGGTGGGTAAAGAATTCTGACAAAAAAGCGGCACAGATCAGCGGCTTCCTTCTGATACTCAGTCAGTTGCACACTACTCTGGTGCTGCTTCTTGTTGGGGGTGTACCAGAGAAATTCATTTTCATTGAAGAGTTCCCATATATGAATAACCAAAGCTGAATCCGGGCTTAAGGTAATATTTCACTCGAGGTTAGAAAAGAAACAGTGTATATCAGGGTTACTCACTTTCTCTTTCTCTCTCTTATGGAGTAGTATGAGATTAGATTTTGCATTGCAAGAGATTCATCATGCCATGGGAACGTTCAAACCATTGAAAACCATGGGAATAATGTGAACTGCTTTATTATTTCTAGGAATCATCCACAGTGCACATCTACGGAACCCCACCTGGGACTTGAACCCCGAGGTGAGTGACTATAAACCGAACACCTGAAACACAAGGCTACATGAGCTGGCTCTCAGCGAATTACTGAAGTTGTACACTAAGTGATATAGCGCCATTCCGACACTAGCTTTACTTATTAGCAGAAAATTTCCCGCTCAGTGAGAGACTCCTGTGATTGATAGTTTCTCTCTAGAGGCATGAGAACAACGAAGGTATTCTGTTAAACAACCTACACAGTTTGGCTACTATATGAGTAGTTTGTGGTTGGCATGGTCCGAAAGACCACCCTGTTATCATGTAAGGATAGCGGTAGTGAAATTTCCCGGATGGAAAAGTTTCAGACCTTGAAAATGCGATGACACAGTTCTTTTTCAGCAACTGAGTGGCAGTTTTCGGTATGCGTTCTTCACCCTCAAAGAGCTAGATAGTGTTATAGGACTGGGTTGCTATAACGCCACATCTTTCAGTGTCTGGAGGATTGTAGTTCAAGTAGATAACTTCTGTTATCTAGGCAGCTATATGTCACCCAAATATCGGATAAAATTTCATTGTGTATTCGGAAGGCCTGTCTGGCATTTGCCAGTTTGAGTCATTAGGCAGGTCGACATGGCATCTGTTTGTCCATAAAGGATCGATTGTATGTTGCAGCAGTCAGGTCCGTCTATCTGCATGGTTCAGAGGCATGATCATTGCGGGCGCAGAATATACGAAGAATGTCGGCATATGAGCACCAATGTCTTCGTAGTATAGCTCAAATCTTGGAAACACCTTGTCAGCAATACTGAGATTCAGCGGCGAGACAGAAAGTGGACATGTAGGGTGTTTTAGATTTCCTGGTTGGGGTCCAAGAGTCCCCATTTAGTAGTTGGATTCATTGAGGAATACGGCTCGGTGTCGCGGTCAGTGATGCTCTTGTATTCACGAACTTTCATTATCGACTTGATACTACTAACTGCAGGTCTACCTAGTCACTAGTGCATGCTCAATAACTGCTTGAACTGAACTGAACTGACCTGAATATCTTCCTCTGTCTTTACGGTGTGAGATTCAGATTAGCAATGATGTCAACGCTGGCGTAGATCAATTGATGACTGTTGTTCATTCTAGTCACCATAAGTGAACTCATCTCTTGCGTTAGTACGTACTTGCTTTTGTTTTCTACATGTCCTTAGTCGCGCCAACACTGAAGCATTTCATCACGACGGGTTGTTTCCGGACGGTAATCGGTTACTTGCTTTAAAGCCAGAGCTTTCCACGTGGTTAGCCGGATGCTCATAATCCAAACAAACACTGGCAAAAGTTCAAGGAAGCCTTATACGCTGCTTCCAATGTCAAACAAAACTTCTCCAGTTCAAGGCCTCACAAACGATGGCTATCTATAATATTTCACTCTGTTAAATGTTTGTAGATCCATCCCTTTGGATGCAACATTCAGTGAGATTCGCTAATCTTGGAGGCGCCAACTGACTAAAAGTTTGAGAAATGTCCACGAGCAGTTGTGGATTACAAAATATAGGTAAATAGAGATGGCTGCATTCATTGGCTACAGTTGTAACCTTTACCACTTTTTAGAAGCACCGGTTCGCGGAAGCCCGTTGTAAGTGAGTAATCCAAGGAGTCCGACGGCTTTTTAATTCACTCCCAGAGATGTCGTCTGGACCTTTGGGTGGGGTACTTTATGGAGCAGTTTAGTTGGTCCACTTCTAAAGTGGTTCTCCCGAACATAATTGCAAAAGAAATGGAATTGAGGTTATCTGGGAGATAGGTTACTTAGTCTCGGAGCGAAAAACTCCTCCAGGTAACTTAAGGTGGAGATCAGATTCAGATGTAATGATGTGAATCAATGACTGTGTCCTCTTACAATGAAGATGATACGCTCTGTTATGAAAACTGTAGAAGAATTAGCTTGATAAGGATCACATCCAAAGTGCTCACGGTGATTCTCCTTTACCGATCATCAAAGCCTGGGAAAAGAGTACGCGAAAGAATCAAGCCAATTTCAGACCAGGTCGGGGTTGCATTGACCACATGTTTTCCTCTCGAAAAACTTCTGAGCACAGGCTCATCTTCCTTAGGACCACAACTTCTGAGTTCTTTAGTCTGAATGCGGCATCTAACTCAGCCAGTTGCACAGATCTCTGTCTCTTCCTCGCGTTGAAGGATGTGTCACAGGAACATATTTTCCCTCTTCAAGGCCTGCATACAAACAAGTGAAGCCAAATTCTTGTTGAAGGAGACCTTTCAAATGAGCCCCCCACGATAAGTGGTGTTCTTCAGCGTTGTCTTATTACCCTCCGTCTTCATATTTGTAGTTGATTTTGTTCTTCAGTTGGCCCTATTCTCGTGTGAAAATAACGGCATCTATCGGTGTCCAGATAGCAAACCGTCTAACTTGGAATATGCCTACGATATATTGTTGTTCTGAAAGAAGATCCAGGTTAGTGAACTGGGCCAATTAGGACTTCCGGATTGAGTCCCGCGAGACCCGTCTACCAGATGGCGGGAAACTAAGTGATACGGGTAGATGGCGTGGCTAATGATGTAGTTTCTTTCGAGCCTTTTAGTTATCTTCGTGATTTCTGCTGATTAATTTGTTTTCGGCTACTCTTAATTTTACTGTCTACTAGACGACACTCAGAATCGGCAACCAAAATCAGAGCACAGACGTGCGAAGTTGACGGGTGACAGAACTGAAACGAACTGGCATACGATTCTACCTAGCCTCAGCACACTGATGAAATCTTCCACATCAGTGTTCAGACTTCTCATCCGGCAGTTTTTCCGGCTTTTCTGGCATATATATATATATATATATATATATATAGTAAGTAGTATGCTCATGTACGGACAAAATTCCCCCGGAAGCACACGACCAGTGTCACGGTTGATGCCGCTCACCAGGTATGTGTACTTGGTACTCCTCTGTCCACTCGCCTTCTCACTAGGATCTAATTTGAATAGTCTGGAGTGTGAATAGATACTCCAGACGAATCCATTTAGATCCTAGTGTAGATATAAAATGGGAGTATACGAGTGAGAAGGCGAGTGGACAGAGGAGTACCGAGTACGCATACCTGATGAGCGGCATCAACCGTGACACCGGTCCTGTGCTTCCGGGGAAATTTTGTCCACACGTTAACACACTACTTATTATCAATATGAGCGCTTGCACATGCAGTCTTGTTGTTCGCTGGGTTAGCCGTAAGCCAAACACGAATAACTACCAGAAATCATAGTTGTGATTCATTTGTGGGCTCTCTTTTGAAAAGCATCCATTCACACTCCATACGATTCAAATTAAATCCTGGTGAAGATACATACATGTATATTGTTGAGATGAGCAAAGGCACGAACATTGGCCATCACCGTTTACAACTGTGTGAGCGGCTTGACTGACTAAATGCGTGTCGTACCTTGCTAAACTGTTTCGTATTGCTAACCGTCACCTTTCTGATAAAATGTTAGATGACTTGTGATGTTTGTTGATCTTTGACCTTATGAGAATGCTCATTTCGTCACTTGAAAGCAATCAAGTTAACTGCAGTATGCCTTCAAACAAATGCGCTGAAATGCTCCAGAATAAATCATACAACCTAATGCCTTTGACTTTGAAGTTCGAATAGATTTTATAGGGACCTAGAAACAGCGTGTAATTACTGGCTCGTAATGTTTGTACCCCATCAAAAAAATACATGGGCATGCATATAATGTCCAAGTAACGACGCACTTAGGGTCAAAAACACGAAATGTAATCAAGACGAATGGTGCGAGGGGAAAATAGAAACCAAGCGTGAAATGTTTGTTTATTGCAAATTTGAGTTATGATTGACTAGTTTGGGTCCACGGGGGTTCACAAAGGTTGCATGAAGCCCATCGCAAGATACAATAAACAGAGAAACCCACCTCTATTTTCTCCTTAGTCCCTGAACACAGTACAAATTTCGCTGACATACATGCATATAATACCTGTAGATTTCCAAATTCGGAAAACCACCCATCATTCTCAAAAAGGGATCACCATATTCTTTGGGTCGCCCAATAACATATAACAAACTTATGTACTGGACACACAAAATGAGTCAGTTATCACAGGCTTTGGCAGTGATGATGTAACTATTCGAGAAACAAACATTTCATGGTTTTCAATGGTGAGCTGAGCGTTGAAGCTGCATGAGGAATTACATTATACAAATCTAATCTCCTACTACTCAAATGCAAAATGAATATTATCCTCAGTTACTACATTTCTCAACAGTTCTAGTGACACAGTCGGGACAGGGAGAGTGTTGAAGATCGCAATAATGTCAAGTCATTTCTTCAATGACTGAAACATGTGACACAGGATAAACTGTATCTGCAATGAATCTGGCAAAATAAACAGTCTGACTGCGATATAGCCCATATTTGTATTCACTTCAAATAATTTGTTTTTTTTTAAACTCACTAGATTCGGAAAATACTTTACTTTTATTTCACATATCGGTTATTTCTGATGTGGACTGCCTTGAGGATTTTCGTGACTTTCTACAAAAGTTAATCATGTCTGAGGTGCCCGTGCCAATAAAGGCTGGTTCTGTGTCTGAGACATATTACACAACCGGCATGGCTGTGGGCTATATCCTCGTCAAAATCAGTTGGCCTTATTATTATTATTATTGTTATTACTATTATTATTTTTATTGTAATCATTATTACCAATGTCATCATCATCTTTAATATTACCATTAGCAGTTGATCATAGAACGCAAAAACCACAATGACTTCCATCAATATGCACTCACTTTTCTTCGGGTTGTGTAGTGAGCTTTTCTGTACAAAGTGAATGATTTAAGGGAGGGGGGGGGGTTAGCGAAGGTAAAAGTGAGCAGTTATTTCTATTATATTCAATACTGAATAGCATATCAAATTCGCTAGACGTTCTTGATATGTCACACTTCTGTACTCGTTATTTACAAGTCCTGAAGTCTGACTGCACTTAGTCTGGTTTATTCGTATTTTGCACAAGGCGCGAACACGTCAACATTCAACGTATCATACTGTACTTCATTATGCAATTCTGCTGCTGCTTACTAATATGACTAATATGATTCGGTTTATCAAGGTTACTATCTGCAGAAGAATAAAAATACCTCTCTCAGTACTGTAGAGCACCTCACTTTGCAGGCCCAATAGATAGCATGGTACCTTCGATAGACAACAATAGAGACACAGGTTACACAAAATCCTTTTGCCAGGATTTTTGGTGATAAAATGACGGGTCGTTTGTTAATTGCCGCGTGTTCGCTACAGCCGTCAGGTTGATAAAGATGAATATTTTGAAGAAAAGATAACCACTGCGAACTATATGTGCACCGATTGATTATCATTTTTCGACTAGTTTGGAATAGCCAGATCGGCAATAGTGGAATTAGATTAAGCCTAGCAGAACCTCGAAGTAGATTGCCAAATCAGACAACTCTTCCTTGCTTTTAATTTCTTAAACTTTTATTTGACTATCTTCTGATATATCTGACAGTAACCGCCTACGCGTCCCGGTCTGCGGCAAGATCTGTACACCACAAAATGCAGTTGTTGCGCCAGTCGCCTACTGCAAGGATCGACTGAAGCCATGGCGGTCCACATCTGCCCTAATGGTGCTAACCCATATGTTACGATCTTTTGATGTGTTTGAAATTCTCTTCAACGGACCCGTGAGGAACATCTGTCCTACTTGTTCGTGTACATAAACTCCCGCTGTTCGGTAATGTGAGTATTTGTCCTTTACACGCCTCACCTCTTCCTGTATGACTGGATTTCTGTGACCCCTCGGTCTCTCTATCTCTCCCTATCATAAAATTGACACCTGCCAACCAGCCTCGTCTTTCCCCTTTTGATAGTCTATGTTATTCCATGGCACTTGATTAGACCGCTCCCCTACCGTGTGCACCGCCGGTTTGACCACTATTATTATTACTATTCGTCAGAGACACTTTTGTGTGTGCTCATGTTGTGCTTGTTTGTCTGAATTCCTACTGTCCCCCCCCCCGTCATGCCAACTAGATTCACACCTGTGCGTGGTCATTGCGACCCGGACATCTGCCACTTTGCCTCCCCTTTTGTTAGTTCTGTAAATGTCTGCCACCTGCCAGTCTCCCTTAGGGTAGCGACCCCTTCACTGTGCAAGAGTCTCCATCACTCCATCGCTAAGTGCTTTTACTTGCGCGCCTAATCCATCACTCATCTCTGAATGGCTCGTTTCGACGGTATATGTTTCCGCACTTTCATTGTTACTGTGAATTGCGCGTTCGCATTCCTGGTTGAACTTGTCTTGTCAAGACTGTCGTTGGTTACTGTTGCCGGACCATTCACAACTGAGGAATGTACACGTATCTTGTTTAACTTTGCTTCCATAGTACACGCAGCAGTTGGATTATTCGCAATCTGGACTAAATGGGTTATCGGTTTCCTGCGAGTCACTCAACAACTGATTGGGATTTCGTAACACCATTTCTTCAACTGACCACTAGGGCAACATTTCCACCGTTAGCAGGGTGATGGCAGTGGGCCCCTCTTCGTAGGTTCCGTTTCGGGTCGGCGAAAGGCAGCGCCGAACTACCGAAGGCGAATTCATTAGAGGAACAAAGAAAGTCGTTCTGTATTCGCACAGTGTTCACGCACAGCGAATTCTGTGTCGCGATCGTACCACTTAATTCTGGCCATGTAGCGGAGGCCGAAGAGTTCTTGTCTTTTCGTGTCACCTTCTCTCAACGGCCAAGTTTCGCACGCGTACGTTAGAACTGGGCGGATGGCAGCTCGATGTATGCCCAGCTTCTTGCGGAGGCACATTTCGCTGCCAGATCGTAATGACTTGCAGATTTGTAAAAACACTCCTTGCGCAGTCTATGCGAAGCTTAACCTTGTCCTCATACTGACCGTATGGCTGGATAGTAGAACTGAGGTACTTGAAGTGGTGTGCCTGTTCCAGATTTTCGCCATTGACGCGTATAGAGTGTTTTGAGCCCTGCGAATTCGTGAAGAATTTCGTTTTTGTAGTGTTTATCTCCAAACCAACAGATTTGGCTTCACATACTATGCGGTCAAGAACCAGTTGCAGAGTTCCAGGATCCTTTCCTAGAATAACTATCGTCGGCGAATTCGGGGTCTGTAACCCAAGAGCCATGGCCAAGTTGTATTTCTCGAAAGTTGTTGAGGGCGCGACGCATTACCCAGTCAATGAGGTAGTTAAATAGGACTGGCAATAGAGGGCATCCTTGGCGGATGCCGGCGTCAATTGGGAACTCTTGAGACTCTTCGCCGCAGGCGCGGATGTTCACATGTGTTGCCGAGTAGTATGATTCTATCAATCTGATGTACTTTTCTCGGCATTTCGTCGTTTCGCAGTACGCTGTAGAGTGGCTGTCTGTCAGTGAAGTCAAAAGCTGCTCGTAAATCAATCGAGTATGCTATGGGGAGTTGCTGAAATTGATAGCAGTGTTCTAGAATTCGATGTGGTGCGAAGATTTGGTTAGAACATCCTCTTCCTCGACAAAAAAGCACACTGGTTGGAGCGTGTTTGCTCATATCGAACAGCAACAAAGCGATTAGGCAGAATGGTCGCAAACAATTTAGCCGCTACACCGATGAAGCTGATACTCCTGTAGTTCGGATAGACACTATTGTCGCCTTTTTTGGTATAGGCAGTAGAAGAGAGATAGACTAGTCTTTGGAAAAAACTACGGTGTCCCATATACCACGGAAGAGCGTACTGAGAGGGTTCAACAGAACTGGCATACAGGACTGGAAGATCTCAAGTGAGATTCCGTCCTCCTCCGGTGACTTCTCGTTTTTCACTGCTTGAGCTGCAGTGACTGATTCCGATTCGTTGGGAGGCTCGAGGTCGATTGCATAGTGTGATGTATCATCTGCTGACGTTTGTTATGACCCATTGGTTCTTTTCTACGGCCTGTGTGGAAAACTGCGGGCACGACCTCAACTTGCGACTTCAATCGCCCCACCCAGAAGACAACAATTCAGCTCGCCACAAAAATGTGTGTACAGAAATTGCTGTGATACTGGAAGCGAAAATCGGACGTTCCCGAACTCGAGTGTTCAGTTAAGTTCAAGCCTTGTTAGGCCGATTAGGTTGCTAAAAACATTTGCCGTATTGATCATTGATCCGTTGACCCGATTTGCGTCGGACCTTACATGCCTGCTCGATCTGCAAGAGAGGTTCGGCCTTGGGTAATCTGGAAATCTATTGGCTATTGTTTATTCACTCCGGCCTGGCACATTCGAGTTGGATTGATGGCTTGCTTGATGAAAAGATTTTTGTTTGTTTTTAAATTTACAACAACGTTACAGAGGCGGATTGGATAGGAGGACAGTGGAGCAGCTAGCTGAAGTTTTCGATCTATCTTTGAGGCTTCTGGCCGCAGCCCGATATGAGTTGGCCTCAATCGTCGCATATCGTGGGAGGAGGAGGTTGAGCCTTCCCCGAAGAGGAGCGAATGAGTAGAACAAGCTTCTCAAAGTCTTCAACAGTGTTTGCTGTTTCCATCCGGCCTACTATTTCAGACCGATGTCGTTTACTGTCGTTCTTCGCTGAGCGTATTGCTACACAGCCACGGTTGCGGTAATCAAGTGAATTGCAGAATCTCGCGTTCCTAGCCTTAGCACTGCGGTTAAAGGATTTTGCAGAGATCCATCTTTGTTCTGCCAAGCTTTCTTTCCTTTTTTTTTGGGGGGGGGGGGGAGGGGGCACTGAAGATAGATACTTTGAGCCCTGTCCACTGTCAATCTAAGCTACCATCCTTTTCGATCGCATCTGGTCTGGGTGAAGTCGCATTTGACAGGGCCTGAACATTGTCCGGGATTGCTAGCTTAGAAGTATCTACTCTGCAGTGAGGACTAGATTTTTTCCGAACAGAAAGGTGAAGCTTGATAGGAGAATATATCGGTACGTGATCCGCGCCGTTGGCGTTTCGCGTTAGGCCATCCCAGTGTGCCCCACAGTTCTCGGCTGATGAAGTCCAACGAGAGCGCACCAAAATGGAGTCGATTTGGTGCACTGTCCCACTGTCGTCAGAATACTAGGTCAACAGGTGTCTTACTGGTTGCTGAAAGCGGGTATTGGTGACGACAAATCGATTGAGGTCTGCAAACATGATCAGGCAGTCGCCATTTTCGCATCGCTCGCCGAGGCCAAATTTCCCCCGGTACAGGTTGGGTATACTAGTTTGCTGGTCCTGTGTAGGCGTTCCAGCCTCCTGCAATTGGAAGAATATTGCCCAGGGAACCCAGTTGAGTAAATTCCGAAGTTCACTGTGAAAGATATTCTTAGTGTTTGGTTCAGCAAGCAGGTTTGGGGCGTAGACCGCAATCACGGTCACGTAAAACGGAGTGTTTCTGAACCACGTCATAGGCATTCTTGTAGAAACTGCTTCCTAAATAAAGATCAGGCCATAATGAGGTCGATTGTTCATTGCTATCGTAACTCCATGAAGCCCAGGATTGTCTGCTGGCCCATTGTGGTACATTGAATAGGATAAGTATGTTGGACAGGTGTACTTCGGATAGACAAGCTTCGTCAATTCCGTAGTCGTAGAATGTGCGCATGGTAATGCCCTGGCTACGTGCATCTAGAGGAGCTCTCACTTTCGAGGAGGCTGCATGGACTCGTGACCTCGTGTTCGGGTTTAGGATTCCAGCTCGTGTGTGAATCGCCCCGGCCACTGGGGGGGGGGGCGGCACAGGATGCGTTGCTCACCTGTGGAGCCATAGCGTGATCAGAGCTGATTGTCGAGATAGTCTGTGGAGAGACTTGGGAATAGTGTACGAAGTGGCGTCCTCAGCTCCACTCGGCTTGTTTTTCGAGTTGGCACCTTTAGCTTATATACAGCCAAGTGTTACCGGGCGACAGAAAGTTTTTGTACTAGGAGCCGGTGGCCGATCAAGCGGCTCATACGCCTTCTAGATTGTGGTTTACCATTCCGGGATGCTTAACGCGTCCAAATGATCTTATTGCATGGTTCCCTGTAGTTCTCTAGGAGCTCGTTTATCATTTGGTAGAGTTGGCCATGACCCAGAGGTCCGTGCAATCCTGTTGATTGAACGGATTCCTCTGGTAGCAACTGGACCCAACAGATCTCGTCCACTTGCGCAGGATTACTTTTCTTCGCGTGCTGGGCTCCAAGGTTCTTAAGCCTTGGTTATCCTCCATCTGATTTGGCCCACCTGCCACATTGTTTGCTGGGGTGTGGTCGCCGGCAGCTTCGTGGAGCCACAGGTGGGATTTGCGTAAGTGATGGAGACCAAAGAGACGAAAAATACCCCAGGGGCATGATATTTTACCAACTGAGAGGTGCTACTCCTCCCAGATACCCCATACACCTCTCTCTAATATGTTACTTTGGACTTTGCATGCACACAGTTGTCTACGAATAAATTACTCCGACGTAACTTATTTGACTGGTTGTTTGGTGGCTTGACTGTTAGTTAGGGTTGGTGGTTCAAGACGTGAAGCCGCTTGGTATTATAGGTCATGGACGGGATCACCGACCTCAATTATTGGATGGCTAGAGAAAAGGTTTTGTGTCGCGGTCACACATACTTACAACTGTACTCTTTCTGCACAGTTTGAATAAATTCATTTGCGGTATTTTTTGAGGGAAACTTCTTATTACTACACTTAAAGCAAGATTGTTCGCTTAAACCGGAAATCGACCTCCTGCCATAGACATTATCATATCTATAAACCAAACAGCTTTGTATACCTCTCTCAAGCCATTTTATTATTGGGGCCACCAGATGGATCTGTTGAATACATACCAGAAACATCTGCCGGTGGAAAACATAAAGATTTAGTGAAAGATCGGAAGAGCCTTTGTGGGTTATTGACGATAATCACTTGACCTACTTTCTCCATAGCTGCCTTTTAACTCAGCGGTATATATCTCAATGTGACCAAACTTATGCAGTATCAGTGTTGCACGGGACTTTTAAAAGAACAGTGAAATGCTTTTAAACTGATGATGAAGAATGTTCATTTTAGCTGAACGTCTCTAACGCTCCCAATTCCAAGTTGAGTTGCACTGGATGATTTTGAGCTTAATAAATAACAGAGCAACATAAATAAGAATAGTTCCGCCAAGCCGTGATGATGTAGAGGCAGAGGGCAGACGATGGCAAGAAGTGGTGAGTAAAAAATAATTGAAATGGAAAGGATAGTTTCTTCAAAGTTAAATTTGTAATTTGGTATTTTTAAAGAGCTGTTTTCTCAAAACGGAATGTATTAAAATGGATAAATAAAAGGTTCAGTACAAATCTCATAGAAGCATAAAATGAAAGAGACTCACCACCTAATGACTGTAGGCAGAAATGGGAAAACAAGAATGTGAAACCGATTAGTGAAGAAACTTTAAACCTGTGCTGTAAGTTTCAAGTTCATAAGTGTTTTATGAGCAAGCTTTTTTAAATTATGGTTGGATACCAACAAATAATTGTGGCTGATATTCTACTTTAACAGCCTGAGCTTAGGAATAGGTATTGAATGCACAGGGTATTATAGATTGCCTATTACATAACCAGCAATTTATGACTAACGCGTTATCGAATTAACAGAGCAGAAGCTAGAAACAACAAGGTGATCTCTATAGTTGTTCGGCAATCTCATTTGCTTTCGTCGCTGATCGACAGGTGCTCTGGCGCCAGATTGGACAAATCTGTACTGTTGGTCTGGTGTGTCACTTTAAAGCGGCCAATCAGAGTTGAGACTGTCGATTGCGTATGAGCTAATGAGAACACCTGTGTTTTGGCTTGTGGTCCGATCGTTCTGCCATGTGACTCTAGTTCTGTTAAGATATTTATCCTCATGTGACCACGTGAATACGGTTCCTCATCAGTTTGGCTCTATCGCACTAAGTAAAATTAAAACCATTTATTTCCAACATTTTTCTGATATTTAACAATGAAATAGCAAAGGGAGCCTTGAGGCAGTTGTTAGCATATAGGAATACCAAACAGAGCGCAATATACAGGACAGAACAGTGATGCAGTTTGATGATTATTCTAAGAGCATATAGCTTATTCTGAGTGCAAATCCCGTCAGTGTACTTTAGTCAGTTGGTGTGTTGGCATAAAACCCTAGTGTTTTGACCGTCGTTATTTGATTAAACTGAGTGGAAGAATGAAATAAAAATCTTGTGAAGCGGAAATATACATTTTCTAATTGATATTTATGTAAACATTTGCAAACACCAAGATAAATAGAAAAATGCAATGTAATCGAATTTTGTCTAGTTACTGACGGTCTTATATTTTCTTTCGTTTCTTAATTGAGACTAATAATCTTGTATCGAATAAAAAACTGCGGGATATCGAATGCGACAACTAGAATAGTTTATCCCCGCGGAACTTAACAACAGTGTGGCTGCCTAGTTTTCAGAGGCATTGCAATATTCCTTCTGGTGTTCTTATCAATTGCACATACTACAGGAACCGCTAACCACAGTATTACGAGAAACTGGTCATCCAAATCAAGACATGAGGCCTAGGTTAACTGTTTGTCTAGGTATTTATTGTCCATGGACTAAACTAAGTTCTCGGCATTTCATTTCTGAATCTCCCACCACGGTTGGGGAAACTCCATAAGTATAGTCGTATAAACTGTCCTAAGGACAAACACGCAGTTACTATGGCAGAACATAAAAATAGAAAAAAAGATGGATAGTATGTACGGACCGGTGATAAGTCACGATTTTTAGTTTCCACTATACACTTCCTAGTGATCTGTGTATATTTATGTGGTTTTAGCGGTCAACGCCGCAATAATTTACTGAATATAACAATATAAAATTGATGCAATGGCTTCTATTCTGAATATCTGAATATCTCCAGCATTGCTTCTTACACCTTGCGAATAAAGCAGACGACTGGAATGCACCCACTGAAACCAACTTCGACACTAACTTCGTGTGGCGGCCTGTATCGGTTACTGTGTACGCGTTCAGCAAACCTCGAAGAGCCAGCCCGGATAGCCTGGTGATTAAGGTGTTCGACTCACAATCGTTCAGTCCATGTTCTAGTCCCATTGGGAGCTCTATAGATGGGCACTTCTGATAATTCTGAACAAGGATGAAACAGCTGTCCAGCTGTACAATGGTTCGATGGTTTTCAATGGTGAGTTGAGTGTTTATACTGGATGATGAATCGTACTCCAGAAATTCAACCTCATATATATATATATATATATATATATATATATATATATATATATATATATGAGCTTGAAAAACAACAAAGAATGTCAGAGCGAAGGCAAAATAGTGAATAAAGGACTGCAAGATAGAGTGCACGTTCACCATTATTAGAGATATCTGATTGACTTATATGATTCGAGATGGGGTCGAACGGAGAAACGAAGTGCATTTACTGGAAAGACTCACACTACCAATACTGAATTCATCCCGTGCAACAGTGGACAATGTGGCAGATCCATCCCCGTGAAAACCATTCGGGTCAACCGATGCTGGTGGGTCGGTCATCTGGGACGTGTATTGAGAAGCTGCTCCTTTCTTTAAAGACGAATCGGTAAAATAAAGATAACATGATTAGTTCAAAGGAAGTTCGTTTATTTCGCTGTCCAACGGGCTAATCTCACAAGTTGGCACTGTATTTTACACTTGTTGAATGAAAGTTATAGTGCGTAAAAGTAATGAGATGTAACTACCCGAAATTATCAGAGGTTGTGTTGATTTTCTCAAATATTCATATCAGGTATTTCACAATAAATAATGATTATTTGATCTGAAAACCAACAAAGTCCATTACAATGGTGGACAAACCAATCCAAGGATTATGGATAACAATGCACGATAAAGATGTGGAGGTAACCGATGACGACGTATAGGTGACGTTCATAACCATCACGCGTGTTTCGTTAATCAACAGGGTGTCACATTTAGAGCTAGAAAAACCCAAAGGCATTGGATGGTGATGACTCCGTGCACCAAAGTAAGAATAAATGGAATCGCAGGATTTCGTAATCCAAAATGAGTAGTAATATATGATGAAAAATTCATTATTATACACTTACGTGGGAAGTTCTTAACCCCTAAAGTGAGTTGCAGTGTTAACATCTTTATCATGATTCGAGTTTTATGTTGCTTTATAGTCGCGTGAGATCTTTATCGAGTTTTGAATTTGTTATCATTATCAAGGTAAATATTTTCTAGTCTCCAGGAACTCACTATACTCGGTGGTTCTTCACTCAGTCCACTCTGTGTAGGGTTGGAATTCATGCTGCATGGATCGACCATGGATTCACATGTAGATGCATCAACAAACAATGAAAATAAGGTTTCCGATTTCCGATTTATGCTGTGTGAGACTTTCAACGCATCCACATCTGGTTCTGTGCGTGAGGATACCTCAGCTGATGGCAGGTGACGAACTCGTGAACGTCCCAAATTGATAGAGTACTTCTGGGAACTCGGTTCCGTTGTCCGAGATCGTACTTGGAGGAGTGGTTTGGTCATAATGAGAGGTGACGCACTGTCTTTTTGATCTTGTGGATCCGGTGTGAGACCTCGGTTGTTCTCAGTTGGTGGTAGATGTGAAGGAACAGTCTTGGGTATCCGCAGGCTATAGATGTTTTGTAGTTCAAGCAGTTTGATTTTTTCCTAGTAAAATGAATGTGAAGAACAAAGCAAATAGACAAAGTGATACTGATTTATTCACTGAAGTGCAATATTCCCTCTTACATTATCTCTGTAACGACGATGGAACGTTTTGTCTGGCATTATTTTACCATAGTGCTCATGCGACGTTTATTTACCCCAGGAAGACAACCTTCGACTATTTAAAATTTTGTTAAAATTGGTTATTTGACCAAATATAAGAAAGGTACTTGCACTGGTTTCCTTGAAATCTTAGTCGTTTCGCGTTTTTTGATCCATTCACAGCGGAAATCTGTTGAATGGCCTCCTTCTTGGACAACTTATAATTTGAAGGTTTTCTGTTTTTTGAATGATTTACCAGGACTTTATATGCACATGAGTAGGGGTTCCACAAAAATAACAACAATAATGAAGGCATCAATAATCACCCAATGAGTTACCTTTCAAGTACTGTGACGGATGGGCATTGTACCACGTAGCATTGACATGAACCACAAAACCACGGGTGATTTTGAGGACATACGGTATAACGGGTAGAGATATCGGACCCTAGCTACTACGTGTGACTTACAGGATGTGCTCCAGTGGTATTTATTTGATTAAAATGGTAGAGAAAGTGTTTCCATGTAGATATAAAAAGAAGAAGAATGGATTTATTCAAAATCGTCCATCCTGCGATGAGAATGTTTAACCCACCACGGAAAGTAATGGAAGCACTGACAGCTGCCTCGACCTTGTTAGGACTCATTATTAGGGCATATTAGCCGACTACTTTGGTGAAAGAATTCTTTGTATGGGTCTAAGGTGATTAGGTGTTCGACTCACAATCGTTCATCCCGGGTTCGAGTCCCAGTTGGAGCTCGGAGAATATGCACTGTTGATGATTCCTAACAAACTAAATGAAATTGATGTACTGAGCTACGATGGTTTGTACCGGTAAATAACCTTGCAAACATAAAATTCGTTTAAATTATTCCAGTCATCACCCACTTCACTGCCTTAGCTTTGATTTTCGGTTCTCAGTTAAAGTGGGAGAAGTAAAAAGAAGCACGTCATAGGTGGGAGAGAAAAAATACTTTCATTTTTTCATTACATGATTACGCATGAGAGCAGTGGAAGGAGTATATCCCACAGCCACAAAGGCTCACTGCTCTATTACAGATAACCGGCAACCAGACCCTGAGAAGTGAGGTGGAGAACCAAAACAAGGTTCCAATAAGTCAGGTGTGGTAACGAACCGCACAATAGAGGATCACTGTCTATCACCAAGAAAACAGGTTTAGATTACAAGTACTTTGTTGACCATGACGGTGGACGGTATAGCAAAAAGTGCTAGTGCCACTTTTCGTAGTGGCATAATATTCCCCTAGCAGCTGTTCTGCCAAACAACCTTTTGTAACTCAGCGCCATAACCTTGATAATGTTGTGTCCGGTTTCGTTTGTCCGAATTAGAAGTTGAGCCATTTAAGTAAATTAGAATATCATCATTAGTCCTCAATTAACCAAATCACTAATTAGAAAAACCGAAACCCATAGAATCAATGCATTTTCCGAACGAAAACGATTTACCACACATCTTTATGTGTAAAATTAATGAGAATTTGCGTGAAGGGAGTGGCCATCGACAGACCTGCTGAAACAAACATTTTGAGGTGAATCATCCATTATTCCTCTATAATCAAGCCCAAAGGTCAGAGGTAAACGAACGCCATTTGAAAACCAGTGGCAAGTATTGAAAGGTAGACAAGAATATAGCTGGAAGGAAACACTCATGAAAAACAGGAAAGACCCAATTGACTCAAAACGACTGACAAGTACCAGGGAAGCCCTTGAAAATCCTTGCAAGCAGTTTCGTAGGACTTATATTACAGCTAGATGAAAGATTCCTTTGAGAACAGTCTCACGCCTTCTGGAAAATCATTCGAATTACTTTCTCTCAGTAAAAGAAAATGTGATGTGTGAACAAGGGTACTGAAGTACTGAAGGCAAATTACATGCATTAGATTAATGAAGATACAGCGTACGAACAAAATTCGACAATCCACTAACCACATGGTGGGTGGATCAAGAGTACAGTAATCGAGAAGTCTAACATACCCTACACCAGTGAGTTCATTTGTCATCGTTTTGCGTAGTATGATTCCTCATTGAAAATCATGGGAGAAATGTGCAGCTGTTTCATCCTTGTTAGGAATCATCAGCAGTACACATCCGTCGAGCTCCACTAGGGCTCGAACCCGAGGTGACTGATTGTGAGTCGAACACCAAACAACCAGGCTATCCGGACTTGCACCCAACGGTTTGCTGAAAATAGACACTACGGGTTATTGCGCCCTTCTGCCACTGACCTTGAATGGGTGTAGTCCGTTTCCCGCACGGCGATCGACTTCTTCTGATGGGTGAGTTTCTTCGTGGTTTTGTTTCACTTTTGGTGACTTGGCTTTTTTAACTGAAATCTATCGCATCAGAATTCTATTTTTTCATGTACGGCCTAATCAGTAGAGAATGATAAAATGTACTATTTGTCATGTTGCGCTACATACCACAACCATAACTGTCTCAGTCCCGCAGGATCGAATCACTTCATGAAACTAACTTCCTTTCTGTGTCCTAAACTGGTAATGGTTACACTCCATACTCATATGGCAGGAGTCATGTAATATGAGATAGAAAGTTGTCAGGTGGTTGTACGTCACGTCACTGTCACATGGATGCATTTGTCAGAAGCCTCAAGCCTTCGACTCATGCGAACATACTTAATCCGATATCTCAATGACATGATAAAAACAGGTGCCTGAGTAACATCAGTCATCGCTTTGGTTCGTTACTTTCTCCTACGCCAAAGTTAAGTATTAAAACTAATCTAATCCTGAATTAAATTTATAATTCATCTCAAACTCGAGTTTGGTCACTGTCTGATGACGAAGACTGGCTTTGATACAACGACTGATAGAAAGCTGGAGTTCCGTCTCGGAGCTTAAATGATAAGCAAACATGTCCTTATAAATGTACCTGAGAATAGCGAGGCATTCATTTATGCGGATATATACACTTTGCCAAACCATAGGTAATTATAATTTTCACCCGGAATATGATGAAGCAGTCACCATTAAATCACTCAGTTTAAAGAAAAGGCAGCGACCAGTTGAACCAAGCCGATCTATGAGAACTTATCCTTTCAAGTTTATATACTTTGTGAAATTAAATTCACCAGATTTGACTAGAAGTGTTAAATTCATTTAAATGTTATAGCTCCTGCGCATCGGTGAACTCCGACCCCATGTACAAACACCACCCAGACTTCTGTCCTTTTCCAGCTGAGCTCCAAGGTCATCACACTGAGGGCTTAGGAAATAATGCAAAAAATGACGCTTGCCCATCTACATAAAGCTACCGAGCAGCAACCGACAAAGCAGACTTTTAAATTGACTGCGTATGGCTGTATTTCTCCATGTATCAATCAGTAGCCACTAGCTTTATCATTGTTCATAACTTTTGGTAATGCAAGATGCAAATTATTCCGTAGAATGTATTATCAGCACTTGGAGCCTGAGCTTTATCTAATGGAAAATTCACTTGCATTTTTCATTTACAAAATTCCAACGCCGCGTGCCAATAATGCTTTCAATGAATATATTTCAGTGTTCACTGGATCAAGTTCAGCCATGTGTTGCTCGTCCCACCGGAAAGTGACCAACGAGACTAGCCCAGAACTGTTGTTGCGTATCACTGGACCAGTGGCTTTCGCATCATTAAATATTCGTTTTAGTTTTTCACACTCGAATGACCATACTGCGATAGCTCAACTGGTAGACCATCTGCCCGGTAAGCGGAATTTCGCCGGTTCGATTCCGGTTTGCGGCGTTAGGTTTTTGGATGTGTAAAATACAAGTGAATTTCCCCTTTCTATTTTAAAAAATAAACCTTTTTAGGCTCTTCGTCAATATCACTTATTTTCTACGAGAAAAGAACAACATAGATGTGGTTGTGGGAAAGATGCGATTCTTTACAAGAAAATGTGGAGTTCAGTGCACTAGTCGAGTGAACACGAAATGGTTTATGTTTTCAGTAAAAAAGCCGGACAATTGGATGCCTTGATCTTGCAGAAGTCTTATCAACAGGTGCAAGCTAAACACCCGTGACTTTGACCAATTGCTTTACTGAGTCGGAAATAAATTTGTCTTCCCATTTGAAGTGGTAAAACCCGAGGTATTTACGGGAAGAATCACACTCCCATTTTTGGTTTTTGTTTATAATTTTACCGGAACTGTTCAGCGTTTGAATTGAATTTTGAACAATTAGGCGAGTTTTGACAAAAGAAGATGGACTGTTACCAACAATCAAGCAAGGGCTATGTACTCTGTATAGTGACCAAAGTTATAGACAAGTCCACACGCTGCCAGTCCCAAACGCTTATTCAATTCAGTCCATACAATACTACGTGAAGCATGAGTCACCATACCCAGTTGCACTGAAATCCCAGCATTTACGGCTAAACAACAGTAAAAACCACTAAGTTGTGAACTGGTACATTTTGTTCGTGGTGAACTACTACACCAAGTCATTAAGAGTTGAACGGCTGGAGCAATAGGAGGTGGTTTTTCATTACTGGATATGCCACTACCATGCGCCACCCTTTTCAGTAACTATTCGGGTGTATTTTGAGAATCAAATGATGAAAGTTCTATATGCCTTTGGATTCATTGGAAATATATCGAAAACATAACTTTTCGATCACCAGTTTGAATGCAGAAGTTAACAGCATCAGGTTGCACGATTTACTCCGGAGCATTTAGTTCCATCTTTACTAGTGCCTACTGCAGGTGATCATTTATACGTGGAAAATTGGACTTTCTCATAAGACCAAAGACAACCACACACACAACCTGAGGCCTACAACAAGTGTTAGCAGTTAGAAACACAATGCCACGGCAAGTCCAAAGTAGTTAGCCCATCTCGCTGTTTGCACAGTTGGGGGTGATGCTGGCTAATTGTTGGTGCCACCGCATACCTCAGTATTCTTTGATTGTTTGTCACGCAAGTGACGGTGAACGCTGTGCTCATGTTGACACAGTGCTTTGTACCCCACAAGTGTTGCACGGTGGACGACTTCAGTGTTCGGCTTTCGCTCTGTGACGTCACCGATTATGTGTTCGCTCATTACTCTTTTTAGTCAAACCGTTCAACCCTTCGGTTATGGAGCTGTCTCTCCGTCCAATTTACCACTCTTAAATGTTCACCTCGACTGCAGTATGAAGTAGTAAAGATAAACTGAAATGCTCAACAATACATTGTGCAACCTAATGTTATATATATATATATATATATATATATATATATATATATATATATATATATTACACCTGCTGGAAGTCAAACATTGTGCCAATGCAGCAACAACAAACATGAAAATAGGATAAAGAGGGTGTAGTACAATAAGAGAAACACAATGGATCACGTTCATCTGTGTGCCGTTCGTCCCGTTGGAAAGTGACCGACAAGGCTAACGCAATGATCAAAACCAGAATAGTTGCTGTGTATCGTTGGAATAGTGGTTCGCGCATCACTGATTATTCAGTTTCGTTATTCACACCCGGCCGTCCGGACCGCGATGGCTCAGCTGGTAGAGCATCTGCCCGGTATGCAGCGGGTCGCCGATTTGATTCCGGCTCGCGGCGTCCTGCTTTTCAATGTGGAAAATGCAAGTGGGTTTTCCATTACATAAGACTCAGGCTCTTAGTGCCAACAATACATTCTGTGAAACTGTGGAATGCTTTGATTTTTCTTACTATACACTTTTTGATGTCTTTTGTCAGTTTGTTTGTTAGAATGACATTTCTGTGAGTACGGGGCATAAGAGTTCGACAGACAGGCCGCACAGCATTCGGACCATTGACTTTTATCCTCAGCCACGTCCCTAAACGTCTCTAACTAACGATAATCCTTGTCCTTTACCCCCAACGGGAGATGCGGAAAGCGCTAACCGAAACCAAATGCCTCAGTATGGTCGGGGGTGGGTGTCTCAGGCTCCGAGATGGCTACCCGCCCTAAATGCCTCTCGAAATGCTCCCAAGTGACCGTGCGTCTAACACAGCTTCTGCTGAGAAAGTCCTACTCACTGGCTTCTCGTGGTGGAGGTGTTCCCACTAAAGAGAGAGGACGAAAGAGAATGCCCAGCGCTCTCCACCGGGTTGGCTGACTAATAGTCAGTCTGGGGGAGATGGCTAAACCCTGATTCTAAACCAACTATGGGTGGCGTACGAGACGTACTGCGGCATCTGTGGCGGAGAGGTATTTGGCCTCATCCGAAGGGACGTGCGAACTGAGCACTCAGTCACCGGCTCCCAGTGGGTTAAGGATCTCACGTTTTGTCCCGCTGCCATGCTGATTAGGCTGTGGATAGGTAACTGCTCCGGGTGTAGACTCCTAAGAAAACCGCCTGCTTTGGCTTGGGCAACCTGTCAGTATTGCGCCCACAAACAAACCATGGGCTCAGACTATCCATCTCTTCCTCCCCGATTGTACCATGTTTTTAACAAATGTATATATGTATATACATGTATATGTATATGAATTTATCACTACTGACGGAATCGCATCTCTTCCTAGTCAAAAACCAGGTAGATTGGTCTCGTGAAGCAGGACTAGATTGTACTGTCGGTACCTTCCAAAATGAGATATGAGAGGATGGAATTTCGGTTCAGTTCTACAACCAGTTCTGGTGTTAGCTAAAACCCCGCCGAATATTACGTAAATTTAAACAAAAAGGACAAGAGGTGAAGTCAAGAGTATTATAAATGGAAAACATTCAGACAGAGACATCGTGAATACTGGCACCTCACAAACCGCGAGACTTGACCACCGTTACCTAAGGCTAGGTGATATATCCATAGACTAACCTCTGGTGTCTAACACCTCCAATCTAACCTGCTTTTCAGAACACGATCTATCGTGGAATATGGACACTCCTTTCATGACAGAAAACCGTGAGCAGTTGTTTCATCCTAATGTAGAACCATCAGTAGTAAACATCGACTGAGCACCAACTGAGACTCGACTGCACGACTGTTAATCATGCACATTACCAACAGTCTATCTGAACTGGCTCTCATTGGCTTGTTTACCGTGAACACTACATGGTATAGCACTCTTCTGTCACTGGTTTTGAAAAATGGCAACCTATTATATGCACAGCGTGTGACTCTTTTGATGGGTGACTTTTGTGTGGAGCCTTAATAAACCGAAATAGATCTTCGGTTTTTGTAAAGTGATTGTTCATGCAAAATGAACAATTTCACGTTACGAGATGAATAATTTCCTAACACAAATACACTCAACAAACCCCATTGTTGCACATCCGTTTTTCCCACTATAATAGAGCAGTGTGAGAACGGATGTGGAAAAACAAATAATAATCATCTTCATCGTTCAACCGCATTTTTTGTTTGGGTCTATTCCCTGGAAACTGGTTGCGCGGTTGTCGGAATCCGAGTAAAGTAAGAGGCTTAACGGAAAGCTCAAAATCTTAGAAAAATCAGCTAAGTATATTTTGACCGGTAGAATTTTCGCTTGTTACGTTCAGTGCAGCTTGCCCTGAACCCTAAGTAGCTAGAGTCAGTTATATGTGAGTAATATTCGAAATCATAGTTTTGATAAAAGTTAACTCACTTCATTGGATTTTCATGCAAATATTCTGGGGGGGGAATCACAGCCCTCCCTGTTATTAGAAAAGCCTAACTAACCATAAGTCATAGCGAGGTGATAAAAAGTGAAATCTATTGATGTTTTTTGTTAACTGCTTGTATAGTAGAATGATTGGGTTTACTTTACGTGTGAACACGTTTCATTAGGAGGGCTGAAAAGGTATTGACACTGAAGACTAAGGGGTGAAATCCAAATGGTTTCAGTTTTCTGCGTTGAATGGCAACCGGATGAGATGAAATTGAAGTCATCTAAATAGCCTGAATAATTGTGAGTTACAGTAATCCACAGATTTGTTGAAAGCCAAATTTAATATGATTTCATTCCATGATAAACTAACTGGTGCACTCTGAATGATGTCAACACTACACAACAGACTCTCATTTAATATTGTCAGAACACCAGCAATTGCGATCTTATATCTATTCTCTATATTCCGTGCTCCTGTTCAATCATCAATCATTCATCCACGAATTTTGAACAAAATTGTACCTGGAGCAGTTGTGTTCTCTCGTGTAGTTGGTTTTCCAAATCCCGGCAGTTACGACGTAATTGTCGTATTTGTTCGTGAGCCAGAACGTTTTGATGTTTATGGCTACGTGTTGTGACTTCCAGTTGGTGAGCTAACATCTAAAAGGAGAAAATTTGTCACGGTTTGATCACAAGTGTAACTGACTGATCTGAAGTCACAGATGTTTTTCATGATAAGTAGTTTATCGACTTCATAAAAAATGGGAACAATCTGAACTACAAAGATCTGATGAAACTCAGTGTAGCGTTATGGATCTGAGAGCACAGGAGAAAAACCCTTTATTCAGCTTGTTTCTATGGAGCGAATATCGAAGAATTTTTTTGAAAAGAAGCACATACGGAATCGCAAGGGAAGGGAATCAAAGAGCACAATCTAACCAATTGATTGAAGCCCCATAAATTAGGAGCATTTTTGAAATGACCTCAAGAATCCAATCTCAAGACGCCACTCTCATGCAAAACGAACTAAAGCCCTGAGAAATCTCACATTATGACCAGAAGAGCAACTTAGGACCGAAGATAGATAAAAAGATCCATACAAGGTGAAATTCAAGGAATTCGACGAATGCTACGTCGGTCACGCTGGAAGAAAGTTTGCCACAAGAATACGTGAACACAAACTGCTATCTGAAGAAACGACCTTTTTCCCCAATTCCGTCAGTGAGGATCAAGAAGGATACACTTTTACTTTGAAAGAAATTCACATTCTCTATCAAGAAATTGCGAGAAAATCGAGCGAGTTCTTGGTAACTTGTCACTGTCTAGGGAATTCAATTAATAAAGAGATTGAACTGGATTGTATTTACGTTGTTCCGAAGGACAATAATTCAAGAAGCAGAAAACAGTTCAATGAACTCTAATCCTACAAACTTATTGCCCAGAATCATCATGCTTCTAATGAACAGGTCTACGGAACTAAAAAAATTGAATATTTGGTGAGCCAAGCGTACAAAATAGAAGTAGTGGCTTGAAAATCATGAGTCATTCAGCAGTTAGTCTTGCTGTTCTTCGCTCTAGGTTTGGTTGCTAACCAGCAGCCACGTGAAAAAAAAACGGGCGATGCAAAAAAAACACGAAATAGAGTGGTTAGCGGGAGTCTTGTGAATAGTAAAATAGTTATGACGCAGCTAAACCACTGACCGTAGTACTTAGCCAAGTCACTTAATATCTCGAATCATCGAGTGAACGAATCTTGTGGACCTAAGCCGGAAGAGCAACACGACCTACTTGATCATTTCCACGGGTTAAGTTTTCCCTACCTTATTGCCATTTCATGAACTGACAACTTCAGTCCATCCTCAAACCTACATCTGCGTCGGAGGACAAATGAACCTGAGGACGTCTATTTATGAGTATGCTTCATAAATGTCCCAACCATATTGTAGTGAGCAGGCTGTTATTAGTCATATTGGTGTTCGATTAATGTAAGTGTGGGATCCCATCGATGCACATACTGAGCATTTGTGCTCATGGAGTTTTCTGTGTTTTTGTACTTTGCAGACTGAACACGAGCAACCCCCACGGAAGGCGCTGATCCTTGCATACTAAAATATTAATCGGTACAGATTAAGCACCTGCTTCGGATACACACCTCTGGATCTCGGCACCCTATGCCTAGATTCAATATCACCGGTAGGGCATTCCCCTTCATATTCGGACAATATTGGGAAGCCCTCAATCCTCGAATACCGGAAACCTTTGTGTATATCCTACCTGTAATGGCCACGTTTTCGAGCAGACTGCCTTAGAATAGGAATAATTTCGCCGTAGAATATGCTCGACTGTTGATGGGCAAGCGGATGTCACGTCGACACCACAAATAGTTCAGATTTGCAAAGGACCAGAAAACAAACTTTTTACATTAGCCAAGACTTCTTCCACAAGGGCAAGGCTTAGGCTAGGTCACCCCCAGTCCTTCAGCCGCATTTTACACTTTGAAAGTACATAACACATATGAACCATTTTTGCATTGTTTTTCATAATATCCAGAAACACTTGCAACTTTCCTGGATATTCACTTAGAAGTAAAATACCATCCGCGTATTTTAAGTCATAGTTTGCAGCCGGAACGAAGATTGGTGCCGCTATTCTGTCTTGAGGATAGGGCTCTCTCTAAAGCAATCTCAATTAGATTAAGGGTAATGGGGGCAGTCCTGAGGATCTTCACTTCCTGCTTTGAATACGTAGCTTCAGAAAGCTGTTTGGCTCACGAATTCAGATGTCGAATTTAGACCCAGGAATACAGATATTGCATGTCTACGGTAGATGCACATATTTTCTAGAATTGGTCTTGAAGACTGATCAACACAACCCCGATTGGGTATGAAGCTGGATTGAACCTCACGCATACACCGCTCGCTAGTGCTGAAAAATCGGTGGGGAATAATACCGCAAAGATGTTTAGATGCAATATTTACCAAGCTTTTTCATACGTCGGTGTTACAGAGGACCTAAGAAATTTATACTGAATCTGTCGAACCAGTAGTTTGCATCATTAGAGTTATTTGAATAATTCAGTATGATGCGGATAATCATTATCCAAGTACCGAGAGAGGCGTTTATGGCTGTTATTTCCCAGCGGAAAATATCACTCAAAAATTGAAAATAACCTGGACTAATGAAACAGTAAAAATATAATCACAAACCGTATTATAAAGCCACATATTAGGCTTGTGTGGGCAGCACTGACAGAGTTCGCGACCACGGTTAAAAACTGAAAAAATATAATCGAACTCAAACACTATTATCTCTGGTAGAAACTCGTGCTTTACAATGAGCCATTTCAGTTTAGACTACCATTAACCATACACCGGGTGCGGCGGCTTCGGTTGCCACCTCCTAGAGGAAACTTCAGAAAGTATACAATGAAGAAGAACAGCAGAACGAAACAAGTAATCGAAAACTACATATATTGGTACCAAGTCGCTAAAGAAATTTGGTGGGAGCAACAGCATTGATAATCGCGACACCTAGCAATATACTCTAATGCATCTGGCCTCAGCTTGATGGGTGTCTTGGGCCTCTCACACGAAGGGTAAAAAGCCCCAAATGGCCACGTCCACCGGTTAGGCTTTGCATACCTTTCTTCCATACATTAGACTGGCCACTCTCACTCAGCTTCCAACCGTTATCCGCCCCAACCAACATAGCACGCTGAGGTATCCAATACCGGGATATACACACCAAGTGCCCCAACCACTTTGGTCCGATTAGCTCAAGTGTTTCATCGGATGATATGATTCGTGCATCTACGACTGTTCGCCGAACCCCAGCGTAATGATACGGTATTCCCACCATATTCGAGCGATGAGACGAAAACATCGATGCTCAAATACCGACAATCTTCGCGTATTCTTCACCGGCACTATCCATGTTTCTAAGTCATGCAGATAAACTGGCCAGACCACTGCAGCGTACAATCGACCCATGTTAGATAAACGGATGTCATGTCAACGCCACAGATGACTCAGGTTAACAAATGACAAACGAGCCTTCTGCATACGCAACGACATTTCATCCGATATCCGACCTCCTGGTGAAATGCAGCTGCCCAAAAAACAGAACTCGTCTATCCCGTCTATAGTCTCCCGAGACACTGAAAATTTTGGCGTCAGACTAACTCAGTTTTGCATCAGCGTCTTGCACTCTGAAGGCGCAAAATGCGTACCAAACACTGTTGCACAGTTGTTCAAGCTATCCAGAAAAGCTAAACACTTGCCTGAATCTTCACTGAGAAGAACGATGTCGTCCGCATATTCAAGGTCTGACACTATTCCACTCCGGGAAAGTTCAATGCCACTATCGTCACCTGACAAAAGCGTGATCTCTAGGACCATATTCATCACAAAGTTAAAGAGAAAAGGAGGGAGGGGCAACCATGATGTACGCCACTTTTCGTGGTGAACTTAGGTGAAAGATCACCGTAAGCCCGAACTCGGCTTTGACTATTTTTGTACATGGATTTTGTGTCGGAAATAAATTTCTCTCGTACACCCTTCAAAAAGAGGCAGCGCCAGGGAACTGTGCGGTCGACTGAGTCGAATAACGCTTTAAGATCAAGAAAATAGGAGACAGTGGGCCTATGGAATGTGTGCCTATGTTCTAAAATTTGTCGAAGAATGAAGATATGATCAACACAACCTCGACCAGGTCTAAACACAACCTGATTCTCGCGCGAGCACTATTCGCGAACGTCAGATAAGCATTGAAGAATAATACCAGCGAGTAGTTTGGATGCGATGCTAACCAGACTTATTTCCCTGTGGTTTTCACAGGAGCACCTGTCGCCTTTCTTATAAGTCGGCACGATTACCGATTCACACCAACTCTTTGGAACTTGTTCTCTCACCTATATCAAACCAAGGAAATTTGTCAACTCCAGTTGTAGTTCTGAGCCACGGTCTTTGAAAATAGACGGAGGTAACTCACCCAGTCCGGATGCTTTATGTTGTTTACGGCAGCTCACCTCACAGAAAGCCTCTACTTCGGACGGCGCATTAGTATCTACAGCTAGGGATGTAGCTATCGTGCTACTAAGCAAACCTGTCGTGGACAGAGCTCACTTAAATTGCTCCTCTAAATGCTCCACTCAACGAACTGGACAACGCTTTTGAACCTGAACCAATGAGCTGCTCGCCACTTTGTTAGTTTCAATAGCGCCTGTCTTTCGTGGACCGGTGTTTCCAATTAGGCGGAATGGTTTGCTGTTCGTGCCAATCGCCGAAGCTTTTTTCATTCCTCTACATTTTGCAGTCCGCGATTTTTCACGGCGTTTTCTCAGGCTCCGTATCAGTTAGCGTTTAAGGCACTTTCGTGTTTCATTGTATCTGACGTCTGAAGGAATCAATCCGCGCGCATCTAACGGTGCAACTGAGGATCCAGTCATCCATCGTTTCTGTTTGTGCCTGGCTGTTGGACCTTGGGTAGCATCAGTAGCCCCACGCAGGGTCTTCGTGAACTCTGTCCATCAATCCTCTGGATCCTGGGTAGTTGACTGAATCGATAATTTGGCGGGTAATTCAGCTTGAAAAGCTGATCGATGGTTACCTTTCAGCAGCATCTGCGGGGGACGGTTCGCTTTGGCGTTGCTTCGGCAACCGACGAGGCGTGAGCTGAAACGCGAGCGGACAAAGTGGACCAAAATGATCGGCAGTCTTGAACTGATCTGTGCCAGCGGTAACCGATAGCAGTATGGTCCATCTGAGTCCGACGCTAGGTTGGTCGGTGCCACTTTTGCTCCAGAAAATTGTACTCGCTAGTAATATTCCATGGTCGGAGCATATTCAGATGATTAGTTCACCGTCGTCGGTTCCGTCGACTGGAATGCCAAATCGGTCTCCTGTATTCCTCTCCGCCTCGTCAAGGATTTCTACTTGAGCACTGACATTACCAGCAACAACCATGATGTCCGTAGAGCGCACGCTGCGAAGCAGTTGAGACAAATCTTGGTAGAATTCGTCCTTAGCCTCAAGAGAGTTACTTTTGGCTGAAACATACACGGAAAAGATAAACAGACACCGACGCTTCAGTCTAGTGCTGTTGACATGCACAGAACCACTCGACCGATCCACACACAGACGACTGATGACTGAGATCCAGTTCAACAATGCGTGCTCAGCTTTCATGCTCAGAGCGATCCGAACGTCGGCCTGACCACGAGCACTAGATGCCTGATCGTCCGACAAACGAAGGGTGAGCTGAGAATCCGAATTTATTTCTGGGGAGCAAAATGTTCGCACTGAAGTTGTGTTTTGTATGCGTTTCGGAGACACAACACACTTCTATGTTGGACGTTTCTCGAGTCCTAGCTAAGGCAGCCTGTTGCCCCGTTTGGCAAAGTGTGCGGAGGTTGAAAGCATAAAAGTGAGGAGAATGCTTTGGTTGGAGAATGGATTTCCTGTTTCCCCTGTCTCCAATTTGCTACTCTCACGGAGAGTTACAAGTCTACGGTCACGACTCATCCTGGCTTCCGTTATCCATTTAGGATTCGGATGTGGAGGATAAACAGCAGAGATAAGGAATGTTTCCCGATTGACCACTGGAGATTTCTGGGCACATCATACTTTGCGGTTGCCAACACCGCAGAAGGGGTTTTTCTTTGGAAACCCTAACTGGAGCCTTTGACTCAAAAGTCTGATTCACAAGGCAGTGGGGCGTTAACCCAGCTCGAAAGCGTAGCTGAAGAATCTGTGAAGGAAATTCTTCTGGTCGGTCAAGTGAGACCTGATTATTGTAAGCGTTCTGCCTTGTCTTAACTAGTGCTTTGTTATCGATCCACCTTTGGATTCAGTCCTTGCTTCATGCACACAATGGAGCCAGCGGAACATGGATGGGGCAGCATCTTTTGGGCCGGGGGCTGCCCAACCTACGCGGCCGATAGCTGCCTAATAAGGTGCAATGACTTCTCCCGCTGTCGAAATAGACCCCAGGCACTCCACACGTACGTCCACCTAGTGGGCTCATCTGGGCGCTCTACACCCAATAAGGTCTCTCTGATATACTGCCACAAATTTTACTCCACAGGAACGACTAATTACATTCGATCGGAGACTGTCTTCGGGACTTTCACTACTTAATTGGCTCACGTCTCCTGGATCATTGTTTCCACAACCGAATTATTATCCTCTTACCGATGTGATTGAACGTAACACTCAGTATGGTCATATTTTTCATCGTGAAGGACTAGATGACAAAATTTCCGTTCAAAATCTAACGCCACAATGTGACAGCCTGTAACTGATATCTCTAAACCACCTACTGACGAACTACAAAAATCCTCTAAACAGAATTTATACGCTGACCAGTTTACCGATAACCTCCATTGGTGAACAACTAACGCCTCTTAAATAGCCACCAAACAACAGCGTACATGTCCATATTATTTATGAAATAAAGGAACCTAGTCCATGAAACCTTTAATTAATTTTCCCCCTATTATATGCTAGTCAGCTTGGATTTTTCCAGATCAGGGAGAATGCTATGTAATTCCCAACTCGATAGACATAGTATTGTTTTCCCTTGCCAAGTTTCCTTACGTCGGTTTTTGATACTTTATTAAATGGAAGACTTCCAGATAAATAGAATCGGAGTCATCCCATATAGTTCTTTTCCTTGCTCTCTTACTATCGTGTCTGTTGCAAATGAACAATTGTACTTCATTGTATAACACATTTGAAATTCGCTAAAACCGTGCCCCTGGAGCACATATTCCAAGCTTTGATGGAATGGGCTAATGAGATTTGTATCAAAGTCTAGGAGTGTGAGAGCAACATTTTCATAAACTATTGAATTTCTTGTATATCAATGCACATATCTAATATTTTACGGCACTCCATTGAATACTACTTCTTTGCAGGTTGCACCCAATTGCGCAGATAATACCGGTGGTTCCTGGAGCAGAAAGGTCGGGTGATATTCCATTGGTAAGACAGCCCAGTGTACCCCAGCGGACGCTTAGGAAAGTTAATCTGCTTTTCATTATGTCTTGGTGTTATTACTTTGCCTATTTTCAGACCGGTGTTAAATGGATACAAATTCACGTCCTCCTAAATAATTCAAACGCGGTAACGAATAACAACCTGGTCCATTAGTAATCAACAAGGACATTAGATTATTATTGTGAGATTCACAGTTCATGTGAATTAACATCTCCGTTCTTTCTTTTTAGTAGCCCTTGGTGTTTACATAAAAATAAATGGGTGGTAAGGATCAAAATCTGTACTGTGATTCAATCTGTACCTTCGTTTTGGCACAAATTTTACTACATACTAGCTTGACGTGCTCTCAAAACTTTAAGTGAACAATGTGAAACGAGGAACGCACGGTTTGTTCAGTTCACATAAAACAACAAAGGATCTGTACCATGAAAATCGCAATAATTATTTTTGAACTAACAGAGGTTTTCTTCTTCTCCGCTTGCAACTCTGCTACGGCTTCATCCAGCCTGATTGCGTTTCGCCGCTGTGCTGCATCATCTGAGGTTATCTGAGAATGATGCTCTTCACGCTCTTTCTCAAGTACATAAATTCGATGTTGTAGTTCACTAATGCGACGCTGACTAGAATCATGTTGTGAAGTTTTTTCTCTGAGCCGAGTTTGAAGTGCCCGAATATCAGCTGTCATGCGATCAACAATTTGTGGTAAGTCTGCTTCTTGACCAATAGCCTAGATAGAATAAACAGAATTGATCATTAAAAGTACTAAGACTAAAAAGCTCCAACCAATAGTAAAGGATTCGTAAGTTGTGGGAAATAGAAGAGTTCGCGACCACGGTTAAAAACTGAAAAAATATAATCGAACTCAAACACTATTATCTCTGGTAGAAACTCGTGCTTTACAATGAGCCATTTCAGTTTAGACTACCATTAACCATACACCGGGTGCGGCGGCTTCGGTTGCCACCTCCTAGAGGAAACTTCAGAAAGTATACAATGAAGAAGAACAGCAGAACGAAACAAGTAATCGAAAACTACATATATTGGTACCAAGTCGCTAAAGAAATTTGGTGGGAGCAACAGCATTGATAATCGCGACACCTAGCAATATACTCTAATGCATCTGGCCTCAGCTTGATGGGTGTCTTGGGCCTCTCACACGAAGGGTAAAAAGCCCCAAATGGCCACGTCCACCGGTTAGGCTTTGCATACCTTTCTTCCATACATTAGACTGGCCACTCTCACTCAGCTTCCAACCGTTATCCGCCCCAACCAACATAGCACGCTGAGGTATCCAATACCGGGATATACACACCAAGTGCCCCAACCACTTTGGTCCGATTAGCTCAAGTGTTTCATCGGATGATATGATTCGTGCATCTACGACTGTTCGCCGAACCCCAGCGTAATGATACGGTATTCCCACCATATTCGAGCGATGAGACGAAAACATCGATGCTCAAATACCGACAATCTTCGCGTATTCTTCACCGGCACTATCCATGTTTCTAAGTCATGCAGATAAACTGGCCAGACCACTGCAGCGTACAATCGACCCATGTTAGATAAACGGATGTCATGTCAACGCCACAGATGACTCAGGTTAACAAATGACAAACGAGCCTTCTGCATACGCAACGACATTTCATCCGATATCCGACCTCCTGGTGAAATGCAGCTGCCCAAAAAACAGAACTCGTCTATCCCGTCTATAGTCTCCCGAGACACTGAAAATTTTGGCGTCAGACTAACTCAGTTTTGCATCAGCGTCTTGCACTCTGAAGGCGCAAAATGCGTACCAAACACTGTTGCACAGTTGTTCAAGCTATCCAGAAAAGCTAAACACTTGCCTGAATCTTCACTGAGAAGAACGATGTCGTCCGCATATTCAAGGTCTGACACTATTCCACTCCGGGAAAGTTCAATGCCACTATCGTCACCTGACAAAAGCGTGATCTCTAGGACCATATTCATCACAAAGTTAAAGAGAAAAGGAGGGAGGGGCAACCATGATGTACGCCACTTTTCGTGGTGAACTTAGGTGAAAGATCACCGTAAGCCCGAACTCGGCTTTGACTATTTTTGTACATGGATTTTGTGTCGGAAATAAATTTCTCTCGTACACCCTTCAAAAAGAGGCAGCGCCAGGGAACTGTGCGGTCGACTGAGTCGAATAACGCTTTAAGATCAAGAAAATAGGAGACAGTGGGCCTATGGAATGTGTGCCTATGTTCTAAAATTTGTCGAAGAATGAAGATATGATCAACACAACCTCGACCAGGTCTAAACACAACCTGATTCTCGCGCGAGCACTATTCGCGAACGTCAGATAAGCATTGAAGAATAATACCAGCGAGTAGTTTGGATGCGATGCTAACCAGACTTATTTCCCTGTGGTTTTCACAGGAGCACCTGTCGCCTTTCTTATAAGTCGGCACGATTACCGATTCACACCAACTCTTTGGAACTTGTTCTCTCACCTATATCAAACCAAGGAAATTTGTCAACTCCAGTTGTAGTTCTGAGCCACGGTCTTTGAAAATAGACGGAGGTAACTCACCCAGTCCGGATGCTTTATGTTGTTTACGGCAGCTCACCTCACAGAAAGCCTCTACTTCGGACGGCGCATTAGTATCTACAGCTAGGGATGTAGCTATCGTGCTACTAAGCAAACCTGTCGTGGACAGAGCTCACTTAAATTGCTCCTCTAAATGCTCCACTCAACGAACTGGACAACGCTTTTGAACCTGAACCAATGAGCTGCTCGCCACTTTGTTAGTTTCAATAGCGCCTGTCTTTCGTGGACCGGTGTTTCCAATTAGGCGGAATGGTTTGCCCCCTTAATGTTAGCAAAATTTGAGGGAAGTAGATATATTTAAGTTGGAACTTCCTTTTCGTGAATAGATTCCGATTCGACCGAATGGTTAGTTTGTTCTTGACGCAGTATCCAGTAATAATCTTTTGTCTGTGTCAAACCGGAAACTAATATCAAGCCTAATAAAGCATTGGCAATGCATTTTATTGCAGCCTTATTTTTCCTTTATTGCAGCTCCAGAAAATTCCAGAGGAGCTGAATTTTTTTGTTCGTTGAACAGAAAATCCTAGGGGACACATGTTACGATATGGTTGCCTTAACGGCAATACTGTACTAGCATCTCAAAAATGCTGAAAATGTTAGAAGAAATAATAGGACGTTACTCTTTCCTGTAGTTTTTCGTAATCAAAAGATTATCTTTTTTTACAAACTACATAGAACCGAGGATATGTGGCATTTATACAGAAACAAGAGAGCAACAAACATAGTTGCGGCCAAATTAAATAATCAGTAGTGTTCGACCAAGCTTAAAATTAGCATCCTTAAAGCACAAGTTGTTTATTTTACCTTTCATCCATCCCACCATTTTCGATTTCGAGGTATGTTTGGGAAACAAAACATGTTCACCGGTAACCGCAAAGTGCGAAATTAAAAAAACAAATTATTAACGTTAACTTAAATGGAACTCTTATACTGGAATTAGGATCGGCATTATAATGTCATAGTAATTCTCTTGATATTGTTCTCAGTCATCCAAACAATTCAGTGTGTGGCGGTAAAAAGTTACTTTTTAATGTTATAAAATATTTGAACCAGAAAACCGTTGCTGTTTCAATGAATATAAAGGTCATCAACATTCATGGAACTCAAATCATTTAGCTTTTATCTATGTTCTCTCCAAATACTGTCCATCCTATCAGACGAATCTTTTTAGTGTCAATAATGATTCAAAAATCATTGCGCAGAGAGTCATGCTTTGAACTGCATGCATGACGTTCTAGCATTATTAAAACCGTTTTTATAGACACAGTTGTTCCAAACCAATATTGGGCCATTAAACTTTCCCTTTTTTAAAACATCAAACACCCGATTGTTTCAAAACCTAACTGAGGGTCATTGTTCACTAGAAAACAGGTGTTTTTCTCCGTAGTGTTCATTTGGAAGTAATAACCATCAAATGGGTTACTAGTTATCGCTTTTAATCTTGACCAGTGTATGTAATTTCTTCACCCAACTAAAAAATATGTGATTTGCAGTGGTAAGGACATGGAACAGCTGGGTGCACAACTTTTGGTTATGATAGTTGTAGTACAATTATCAGTCAAATGGGCCAGTTGCTGTAATCATGTTATGCACGTTATAGTTCACCTAATAGATTCATGGTGATTTGTCTGAAGGTGATACGGCGGCTTTTTCAGGTTAAAGACGTTGTTGTATACTTTACTTCTCAACCTACATAATACCATTATTTTTAACTTCCATCATTTCTGTATCCTCTAAAACTGATTGTAATGAGGAATTTAAACTGAAATAATTAGTCGGTTTCTTCACAAAGGGTGAATGGTTGTTGGTTTATTTGAAAACAGTGAAATGCACTGGGATCGAGTGGACTCAACTGGCAGGCTCCTGCTTTTATAAGCTACACTTAAGTATTTCATATTTCCACCTCTTGGATATCTTTTACAGAGATTTACGGATTTGGACTGTAAGACGAACAAACACCGAAACCAAATCAACTTCTGTCTCAGAGAAGATGCGCCTAAAATTTGGAAAAAAAATCAGTTAACTTCGTTCTGTACCGTACTTTGTTTAGACGGGCAGATTGCATCTTGCATTGGCGCTGCACGGTACGCAACTCTAACCGACATTCTTGCAGTTGTCGCTGCAGCAAAATATTTTGACTATTTGCTTCAGCTAGTGCAACCTGAGCAGCCTCCCATCGATCGACAGCGGATGTCTGCGTATTTTGCACTGCTGTTGCACTTTTTCTGAACACTGGGGTCTTAGTTGAGCACCGGTGGGGTTTTCTCCGCTTTGGTTTGGATTTATGATCCACATTTCGGACTGGGTTGACAGATTTGAGATTATCTGCATGAAAATAGAAATGAGTGTTCTTGATGAATCAATAGTAAATCAACGAAACATCTGTATTAAATAGGCTTATGAAGCTGATTGACTTACGACCGCGTCAGCAGTAGCACGAGTTATTACGGAGAGAAAAACTTTCGAAAAAACTAATAAAATTCTACTTTTGAAAAAAACCTGTAAAGAAAAAGTTGTTATCATAAATCATGACTGTAAAGGTGAAATGTAAACGCAAGACAGACGACACTTCGAAGGATCAAACAAATAAATTGACTGATCAAATCCCGGTCTGATTTTACCCTATTACAAAATAAATAATTTTACTTTGCTTTTTATTCATTTTATTTACATAGAGCTCCCCGGCCTTCATTCTTCATATAAACGTCCAAAGAGAGTCCTCTCATGTAAGCTGGGCCATAGACAGACGGACCAAGTAGACGAAGGCAAGAGTAATTTGCCCATATTCTCATAAAAATTATCTAAGTCACTCTATGAAATATTCTACTATATCGCTCTTAACCTTTCTTGGATGTCTTTTACCCTCTTCCACAACCCAGACAGCATGCAAATATTGCGCGGTGATTTGATCGTGATCTGAGTTGCTCTGTTTGAGGTACGCATCGAGCCCGGAAGCGTTCCCGGGATTCCAGCAACGGATATCAGTCATAAAAAATCATTTGGAAAATGTGCAAAACCTTGAAAACGGAAAAGCCTAATCAGTTTGAATATGTATTCGAGGAGAATTCATTACGGCGCCGGAACAGCTTTACCCATATTCAGAGAGCAAAGTTTAAGATAAAACTGCTATACCGCCTCTAAGAGAACACCTAACAGTTTCAAAATCAGAGCCACAGAAAGTGTTTCTTACACGTCGCTACACATCATATTATGCACCGAAGTCAGCTTCATTTCCGCTTCCGATCCACACGGATATTATTCTCCTGCTTTTGCTGTTCTATTCTGGTGAGACCACTGAGAAACCGAGGAAGCTGAAAGTTCTACTCCCATCTAACTCGCTTAAACTTTGGCTAATACTTTCAACTGATCGCTGCAAACGGGATATTTGCCAGATGAATAGAAGATTGCTCTTTTCATTACACGCTTTTTGCGTGAGTGCTGCGAAGGGGGTGCACCCCGTAGCCACCAAAGCCCACTGAGCTATTAGGGGAACCCAGCAACCATACCCTGAGACTTGGTGTGTATAAACACTTAGAGTCTTAGTAGGTACTTCTGGTAATGAGCTGGACGACTGTAGATTACTGTCTATCATGCATGTTGGGTATATAAGCACCGCCTTTATATACTGGCTTACAAACGGTATCTTCGAATACTAATGTCGTTTGCTTTTCATCACCTACTTCCAGTAGCATTGATGATTTTTCGTGAATTATGGGTTCAAAGGAAGGCAGCAAAATATGTCATCAGATAATAAAACCTTTGGATTCGTACAACCTGTGCCGTTTGTCGTATTATTTACCTTGACCGGAAGTTTGCAGCCCTGGCTGATTCGAACTTATTTAGTATAGTGGTATCGCTTCAGATGGTATCCTAATATATTTCATCTATACATACGTGAAAAATACGTTTTGCATGTGATTATTACTACTATTACCCAGTCAGAACAAGGAGACTTAAAATAGTCCCTTACAGGGACTGACTTTTAATTTGTTTTAGTTGTAGTCGTGGCTATTTTCACTCAGGAGGACATTCTAGGATACCAGTTTGAAGACTAAGAAGGGAAATTTTTCCAGCGGCCATCGCGGAAGAATAAAACATATCCCACATAAAACGCCCCAGGGGAAACCTAGTTTTCTACCCAACGATTTGCTGTTGGCATCTATAAAGGTATTTATTTATTGCTTAGAAGAATAATCATTTCCATATTTTCAAAGGGGTTGGGTTCATTGAGGAAAATACGGTTGCAGTGGCTAGCCGAAAGTGGATGGTGGATTCCAACCATGGTAAGTGGCCAATAGTTTCCTCCGCCCGCATAAGGTCCACCGTGGACATCAGTTCAAGCAGTCAACTTGGAGGAACCATTCCGTGGCAAAAATTGATCATCTCTCTACCAGAAGTTAATATCTGGTTGTCACAAAATGTACAAACCAATACTAATACAGAAAACCTAAGGACAGCAAATCCGCTGAGATGTGTATTGGGTTAGTTTGAGAAGATCTTCTTTTATTGCACATGTCAGCTCTCGTATTGTCTTTTGAAATAGAGTTCAAAGATGCGCAAGACACGTTAGACGATCTACGAAGAGGTGTTACCTCAGTAAGGCAGAATTCTTGGGATCACCAACACTTGACTACCGAGTTTTTGGCTCAAATAAATGTAGAAGGGGGGGGGGGAGGGGCATGGGAAAGTTGCACTGCTAAGGACAAAAGTCTGGACCTTGGACATAGGTAAGAAAGTTTGTTGTTTCATTAGTGGTTTTCGGACAAAGTTTGTCGTCAAAAGTATACAAAAGCGACAACACGGGAATTTTTTCGCATTACTGATCATTGTTGACAAAAAACCAAACCAGTTTGGTGAGGTGGATCTATTGACAGTTTCAAAGACGCCGCAGTCCAGACATCAGGTCCAGTACGTTATACTTGTTGTTTTCATGATTTACCGCAATCAGTGAAATATACCCTACGTTTATATGAAAGCTTTATACCTTGATTGTATAGCATAAACTATTGACCACAAATATTATTTGATTTGATTACCATTTACATAATGTATCCTGCGATCGGAACGACAAACGGAACGTTTATTGTCTACTTACTTTTGGAGGAAACAAAATATTTGTCTCCGTTTTATCATTAGCTGTATCTTATTTCACGCTAGAAATGGTGTGGTGTTTCGTGACATTCTCATGTGCGGATGACCTGCATAGAGTAAACTGTGAGAGTTACTGACGTTAATTTCGCGAAAAATAAAACAAAATTTGAAGTCCTATCCCTCGTAGCTCCAAGATCGTTCCGAATCCGATCGGTTTTTCAGTGGTTTTCGAGTAGTTTTTGAGTGGTTCCCGGAAGGATTCAGGGCGGTTGATGCTAATCCTGTAATATACATATGTTCCGTTAATTTCTGTCCTCCCTCCAAATTTGCGTTCTTCTCGATGGCTTTTATCTTCCAGATCAAAATTCCTAATAATTATTCTAATTTTGCCAATTTTACGGCGCCTGAAATAAAACTATCTGTAACTTTGTTCAAAGAGTACTTTATCGTGTTCAAACGAACGTGTCAAAATAAAAAGCTTGATAAACTGTGTGTTGTACTTTTGTCGTTGATTTTCTCCGTATAAATCCACTTACAACCCACAAAAAAATGCCCGATCAGCACACAGGGACAAAACAGAGTCCTGAAATAGTTCCCTCAAGGACAAATTTTTATTTTACGTCCTTAGCTTTGTGATGCCTAGGGAAGTCGAAAAACGGTTTCACTTTTATTAAATATTTTTCCGTTTTTGAGGTCTATAGCTGTTGCCTCGTCATATGGTGATGCTCTAACACGGTAGAAGTGAGGACAAAACAGATCAGGAAAATCCAAGATTAACGTCCAAAGTTGAAAAATAATCTTCTTAATCTACAGATGTTCGCGAATAATTACTTAAATTAGGCCTTTTATTTTCAAGTCACAATTTAATTTAATGAACCTCTGAAGACCGTTTCACTGCTCACTTGATTCGCTGTGGCTGCTGTGAGAAGGTATATGGCTGTTCGTTCCATTGGTAAGTGACTGACGAGGCTAGACCAATGAATAAAACCAGGACAGACACTGTGTATCACTGGAATAGCGATTCGCGCATTATCAAATATTTACTTACGTTATTCACATTTGACTGCCTGGACAGCGGTAGCTCAGCTGGTAGAGCATCTGCCCGTTATGCAGAGGGTCGCCGATTCAGTTCCGACTCGCGGCATCCGACTTTTTGATGTAAAAAATGCAGGTGGATTTTCCATTACAACTATTTTAACATTATATACATTTATTTATCACATTCTTTGACTTCGAAATGTTTTTTCTGGTGTTGTGAAGTGCTTTTTCCTTATCAACGGCAATTTTTCGCTGAATAATGTTCGTTGTTTTGGGATTTGTTTTGCATTCAAACTTCTGTGTACGATGGTGTTGCTTGTGATTTAGTTTAAAAATACTACCACGCGTAGTTCTTGGTGACGATGAATATCCCATCCTAGGATGAAAATACGAATGAATTTCAGCCTTTTTCTACGCTCAAAAACATTCTAGGGCACCAATTTGGGAACACAGAAAGTGATCCTTCCAGCTGCTGTTTCCCAAAGGCAAACTGTGAACAATCCAATAGACCCCCAACTGGTACGACCACGTGCAGTGGCCAACTGCTCCCTCGCTTTCAACTGAACGCATGATGTGCGACGGTTTGGCGCAAGCGAAACACTGTCGGGTGTCGTCAGTTATCATACACAAAGCAGCCAGTAACTCATCAGTGAATATGATTTTTTCTATTTCTAGATGATTGCCGAGCAGCTGTTGAATTGCGACGGGCGTTTGAGAGGACTGTCTGGACTGCCCTCATCAGACGCAACTCTCGAAATGGATCCTTATGGAAAACGACCGCAGTAAGTTATACTGAATAAAATACTATCAGAACTACTCATAAAACCTGTTGCGCTATCAGGCAGTGAAAACGAAGAAATTATGTCAAGGATGCGCCCAAGAACGGATATCTGGTCTCCAGAACCCATCGCATTGGATGCATTCATAAGTCTAAAACAGTCACCACTAGATGCATTACAAACAAACACAGCGATGCTACCTTCGACCATGTAAATTTCTGACTGTCCTCACTATGAAATTGCGTAGTCACGTTTAGTGACCAGCACCATGGATATCCAGTGCAGCTACTATTTTAAAAAGAAGCATTGCATGGTATTGATTGATTACCCATCAAATAAAATTCAATCTATGGTCAGAATAACAAGTAAAAACCACTTCATATGCTAAACATAAAGACAGCAGCTTAGCCAAGAAGATTCATGTTGAGTTAGTTTCAGAAAATCTCCCTCTATTGGACGTCAGCTCTCATGCTGTTCTTGAAAACGGAGGTAAGACCTATGCTGAAAACGTTAAATGAATTACGAAGGGATGTTACTTCCATAAAGCAGAATATACTTCAAGCAACCGCTCAAAACCTCACCACATTTGATATTCTTATAACTTATTCCACGCCGTCTGCGTATCTCAACGAACGACTGAACGACGACAATTGTTATGGTTTGCCCTCAAGTGTAACCTGTTTGAAAATGACTAAATCCAGTTGAATCTTCTTTAACATTTCGAAGAGGGTGGGGGGGGGGTAGGGAACTGTGATTGACAGCCGATTTTTTGGCGCAGCTGAAGGTCAAAGGTGTTCATGGAAAAATAGTTCCCAAGGGAAAAAACTCTGAACTCTTGTTATGCATGAGAACACTTGCTGTCCTATTATTGGTGTAAAGAGGCTGTTGTCGTCAAAGGTATCTCAATGCGACAACACAGGAGATTGGTCGCACTGTCGGTCGCTACTTGCAAAAAAGCAAACTGAATCAGTCTGGAAGATCTTTTGACAGTGTCAGAGACCTTGCAGACCAGACCGTAAGTCCCTTAGGTCATATAAGTATACTTGCCACTTCCTTCATTGACTGCGTTTAAGAAAATATAATGAACGTTTCTATGATAGTGCAATACATTGATTGAATAACAGTAAATCATTCATCATAAATACTTACATTGATTGCAGCCCAAGTAGCACGTTGCCCCAACCTTTGGGGCAAACCTGGGGCATACCCCAAGCTTGCCCCAAGGTTGGGGATAGCCCCAAGTTTGCCCCACGGTTGGGGCTAGCCCCAGGTTTGCCCCATGGGGCAAACTTGGGGTGTGCTACTTAGGTTCATAACCAGTGGTGTCTCATCACATGCTAGCAATCGGGTGGTGTTCCGTGATATTTTCATGTGCAGACGACTTACGTAAAGTGGATTGTAAGAATCCTCGGCGTTCATTTTGGGAGTTAAAAACGTTCAAGGTTCTATTCGTCCAGTAAATAATCGTGCTTAGAGAAATTATGAGGTGCATTTCCGTTTGGCTAATGAATAGGTGGGAATAATTCGCGTGAGGCTTGAGACCATTGTTATTAGACATTCCTGCTAAAGAACTCAGTTAATTGCGGTCAAACGATAAAAAATATAAGAAGCGGATGAGACGCTCTGTTGTGGTTGTTTCTAAAGAAATTCTCCAATCATTCCCTCGAATGTTCCAAACGGGACTAAATTGGGACTATTTCGCTGACTAGGTGGCTAAAATAACCGGTCGAAAATCGTTCGGAAACGATGTCACGAACGGGATTCGTACTTCAAGAGACTGGGTTTGTAAGTAAATGGACTTCGAGAAATAATGAAGTCCATTTCAGTCGAGTACATAGAACTAGGAAATAAACACGCGGTTTCTGAGACCATTTTCTTTAGATTTCGGAGGCATTAGAACTTCATTGAGTGAATTAAAGACAAGAAGAGTATATTGGAATTGGATCAGCCACTCTTTTACGGTCAGTCCCAAGACAGGTCTCACATTACTGCCGAGTGTTTCAAACGGGACAACTTTTTTGACTAATTTGCGGCTAAATTGAGAATAATTTAAGGCTATTGTTGGCTGAGTATACATATATATTGTTTGCGTTAGGCGCTTAGCAGTTCAGTCTCTTGGAAAAACTACTATGTAGAATTTTCCAGTTCATTTAAAACAAAATGTGCAACGACCCATTACGCTTTATTCATCTTCATACCTCCTTCCACTTTCCCTTGTTGAGATGATCCGAAACAGTTTTTGGGTCCTGGGATGTCGTTTATGACTTCAGAATCACTCTCATAGTTCTCGCTATAATCTGCTTTATCCGAGCAACAAGATTCAGGAACAATTTTGTTCTATTTTGGATATGGAATTCGAAAACAGTGCATACTTCTGCTTCATTCGTGAACATGTTATTATTGAAATCGCATGGATAAATAGCCATCTTCAATAAATTTGAATTCGAAGCTTTAGAGTGAAACATATATTATTTTATTTCAGGAGCTTAGCACAGAACCTGAATTCCGTCAACGTGCCCTGTATCTATGATTTTGGTCAATCGCGCACATTTTTATTTATTTATGATATTGTTGTGGCACATTAAAACAAGAGTGTTCAGGTCCGTTCAACTCAGTTCAGTTCAGTTCACCTTGCACAGGACAGGTAATGGCCACGGCCAATCGGGGGTCCAGAATTCCTTCGATTGTGTGCACACCAGTTATGCACCCACCACTGCCGAGTGTATTTCGTCGAATCCCCGCTAAAAATGAGAGGGAAACGGAAAAGCTCATCGCTCATCAACTGCGAGAGACATTGTGCATCGAGAGCTTTCACTGAGGCAGTATGCAATGAGCGAAAAAGTTCATTAAAACATACTCCAGAAGGATCACAGTGCTACCATCCAGTTGATATACTCAAGGCTCACTACGAGGAAATATCTCGTACCAGTTGCCATCTAGAGCACCTTTGAAGTATTGGACGGTCTGCAGATCTACCATTCCACCAGGAAGACCGTTCCAACTGTTGACAACCCTGTTGCTGAGGAAGTGCGATCTAGCCATCAACCTAGCTCGGGCTTTTATCAGCTTCTTTTCATGTCTCCTTGTTCTGGAATCTACGGCCACTTGAAATAGACTATCTGGTCTAAAGCCGGAAAAGCCCTTCATTACCTTGAACTTTTCTGTGAGATATCCTCGACTTCTCCTCCTTTCCAACGAGAAGAAATTCATGTCACAGAGTCTCTGCTCGTAAGCCTTACCCCTCTGCCCTTCAACCATTCGAGTGGCGAGACGTTGGACCTCTAGGCAGTCGGCGTCCTTTTGTAGAAGGTTGACCAAGTCCGCATGCTACCTTCTGATTGAGTTCGTCCAATAACCACGTGAATAGGTACAAATACCTCCCGCTGCCGGCAAGACAAAGCTGATCGTAGTCTAAAGAGCTCCCCGCGAGCCTTTTTCGCAGCAGCGTTGAACTGCTCCAACCATTTGAAGTCACTCTTCATGATGACCCCGAGGTCTTTAACCTTACTGACTGCCTCTATGGTGAACAGCCCTTGATCATGAGCGACAGTTAGGCTTTCTTTTGGCCTTGGCAACAAATGGCTTTTTTCAGCGTTTAGAGGTAAGTCTCATTTGTACGCCCAGTCCAGGACGGTACCTATTTCTCTGCCCAAGTCCGCCCTACCGTCAGATCCAACAATCTTCACATCATCCGCGAAAATAAAGCTGGGCAACTGAAGAGCGGATTTCAGGTCATTAATAAATGACAAGAATAGGACCGGGCCTAGGACGGATCCCTGAGTTACACCACTGGTGACGTTCACCAAACTGGAGCACCTGTCCCCCACTTTGACATAAAGCGTCCTGTGGGAGAGAAAGTCCTCCAGCCACCCATATACTGGCCCACCTACGCCAAACGGCTCCATCTTGCATAGCAAAAGACGATGATTAACGGAGTCGAACGCCTTGCTCAAATCGAGGTAGCATACCTCAGCTTGCTTACATTCGTCCAGTCGTTGAGTTACTTCATCTAAGAAGCACAGGAGATTGGTCAGGCAAGACCTATTTTTCAGGAACCCATGCTGCGCCGGGCTTAGCGTGGAGTGCTCCAGTAAGTGCTGGCAGATATGGGCACGGATGATCTTCCCCAGGACTTTTCATAGGATGCTAGTTAGGCTCACCGGCCTGTAGTTCTGCACAGCCGACTTAGGCCCACTCTTATGTGTTGCCACGACTGCCGCGACTTTCCGGTCCTGAGGCAGCATTCTATGGTCCAACGTGGATCTGTACAGCCTGCATACCGATGGAGCTATGATATCCGCCAACGGCTTGATGATAGCTGAATTATTGCCGTCTAGGCTGTTTAACTCCTGTAGGTCTAGCTCGTTTAACTGAGGAGAAGGATGCACTAGAGTCAAATCTACTCGTACCCCACTATCCATTCTATGTACACTACCAAAGTATTCCCCCAGGTCGTCTGCTTTGCCCTGGTCATCAGTGACAGTACCATAGTCTCTAGTGGATAGCGGACCCACGGCATTCTTCGTTGAGCCTTTCGACTGTCCATAGCTGTAGAATGTTTTCGGCTGTTGTCCTAATAATAATTATAATAATGGTAAATTTCTCGACCATGGCCGAGAGGCCCGCGCAAGCGCATGATCATGGTGTATGACGTTACTCAAAACGATGAACTATACACGAATTTAAAGAAAGCGAGTCAAAATCGTCAGAAGCAAAACAATATAGATAGAGTTAGTTTGAATCGACCGAAATGATATTGGTTTGCGCGGCAAATACGGTTTGGTTTCGAATCCGAATTGGTTGGCGGTGGCCCGTGGGAATGCGAAATATGTCGTGAAAATATATTACTAAGGATGCGCTATAAACCAAAATAATGCAAGCTGTGGATAACGGAGGCCTATTGGGGTTCTATGAACGGCATAAGTTATGAACATCGAGAGATAAAAGAAACAAATGGGGGTACACTCGTGTACTTTGGTGAATATGAAGAGAAGGGCTCTCCATGAAGACAATGATGGCCCGGAATGACAGATATTTCCGGTCTCAATAAACGGAGTGTGTCATGAAACGGGGAGACATGAACAAACTGTGTGGAAGTGGACTAGGAAAAGTTGATGAGTGTGGAGGAAACAGCAATCCATATAAAAGGCGAGTTTAGGTTCAAAATCAATAACCCGGATCATTCAAAGAGAAAGGGAAAGCAACTTGAAGGCCTTAAATTAGTGAAGAATAAATTTCAAGCCGGATACCGATCGAAAGAAAAATGAAATCTTGCGAGAGAAAACTGAGTGAAAAACCTCCGCATAGGCTCGCGCTCTACTGTTCTGTTACGCTGACAAAAATATATTGATTTATTGATTCTCAGTGATACTCGGCTTCATTATTGGGAACCACGGATGAGGGGGATAAGTGGACTTGCGTTCGGATGGCGCATCGAAATTTAATGAGTAAAAAATTCCTGTGTTGCGTATTCTGGCTCTGTTATTGGATTATTTCACACGAGACCAAGGTGGTGTGCAGCATCCCGTGGGTATGGTTCATCGGGCAGGGTAAGGGACGTGTCAATCAATCAGTAGAAGGTAGCTCGTGAACCGTTATTTGTGAAGACTCCAGCAGTGACATCAGTAGTAGAGGTGTTGCGTCGGAAGACGCCTATCAATCAACTGGTAAGCAGTTGGGAGTGTTCTAGATCGTGCGGCTCGATTGCAGTCCCGCTTGGTGTAGAAGATTCCATTTAGGTCTCTGTCGGTACGGGTCAGATTGTGGACCTTGGTCACCGAAAGTGGAGCCGGAGCGAGTGGGCGACGACAAACCTGAAATAAATGATGTTAGCAGTCTGGAAGTGGTTCCAGCTGAGTTATGATAATAAATGGCGACAACTAATAATGAACTGGTTGGGTTTATGTGGACTGTCAGTGGCGCATTTCATATTCTGGTCTGGGTTTCAATTCGGGAGTTTTTGTAACGTAGGGTTGCAGGGGGTTGATAAGTACTACTACAGGCTTGCAAGATAGCGTAAACCGGGTGGGCTGCTGCGTCTGCATTTTAAAGGATAAATGGTTTGCACTCAATTAGAAGGTCTGGAGAGCAATTTAGTAAGAATGCAGAGAGAACCACTAGGGCACCTGTGGTGATGCGCTAGAGAAAACTGTTATCATGCACAGAAACGTGGACGTGAGTTCGTCTGTGCTCCTACTCGGTAGTGCCGGCCTACTGAGATTTAATTTGAACTTGGGCAGGGAAATCTCATGCCGAGGTGGTTGCTTGTGTATCATTATAAAAGTGAGGAGAGACAGTCAGTAGGGAATGGAAAATATGAACAGTCCTCCGTGTTCATTTTTGTAGACTCAAGTGAGGCAGGTATTGGTCATTAATTGCCTCCATACGTTATCCATGTCAGTGGGATTAAGTTCCAGGCTGCGGTTGTGATTGCAGTTGGCAGGAGGCTGTGGTTACTGTTAGATAGGGTTGCAAACCTAAGCGTGGCTTGGATGCTAGGCTGCTTTCTGAGAAAGATGACGGAAGATGGAGGGCTATGGATGGAAAAGATGACCGGTTTCCACTATGTTCTTTTCTATTTTTCTCCTTTTCCGGGCTTCACCGAGGCTGCCGTTATTCGTCAGGTATGTAATAACCGGTCGTGGAAAATCCCCCTTTGACCCTCACGATTCAGTGTTTTTCCTAACATCACTCATTTGCCTACACTATTGACTTGTCGTTACGAACTGGTTGTTTCTATGGACCAATTGTTGTTTGTTCGCGCCCACAGCGCTACTTTGGCACATCCTTGTTCAGGACCTGCGTGACGCACGTGCTGTTTGCTCACAAGCTGCTATTCGGTTTCTCGTTGTTGAGTCCTTGTGATCGTACTATTGAGGTTTGTATTCTTTTTGATGTCATTGTTCATGTAATAATCTAGTATCGTAGAATATCGCGGATAGTCGTCTTTTGATTCCGGGATCCGTTGCGAATTTGGCTACGCATTGCTCAAACTTTCGTTACAATACTCAATAGATCAATTTGGAACAAGGAAAAACACGCTAAATGACAAGAAAAGGATCGAAAACATTGGATTCCGAACAGGAAGTTACACGGCAAGTCTCTGAGGAGGTTTTGGGTACATTTAATCCTTTAGTTAATGCTATATCGCCTAGTCCTGTCAGTGCTAGTTCATGTGTTAATGAGAGCAATATGGATCGTAAGGATGTGAGGTTTTATAGGCTGAGAATATTGGATATAGAACAACAGCTGTTATCGGCTAGACTGCAGGCACAGGAAGCAGAAAAGAAGTGTACACAGAAAGAGTGAGAGCACGAGACCAGCGACTTTGATACTTCCGATAGATCAGAGTGCAATAAGGTAGGAAACCCCACGCCGGTCGCCGACTACAAACCACCATCGATCGGTTTGACAAGAGTGGAGCTAA